AGTGATGATGACGATGATTATGATGATGATGTGAATGGTAATGATACTGATGATAATGGAGATCGTGATGATGATGTTTTGATGATATATTGATGTACATATTGGTCTCATCACGCCTTGAACCTCTGCAACTGCGTAGAGATGTTGCATCGCTTAGCGCCTTTTACCGCATGTACCATGGTGAGTGCTCTGAAGAGCTGTTCAACCTCATCCCCCCTTCCCCGTTCCTGCTCAGAAGCACGCGTGCTGGCCTTCGAAGTCACCGTTTCACTACCTGCCGAATTCCATCGCGTACTAAAAGGTTCGGTGGCTCCTTTCTCTGCCGCACGGTTGACAAATGGAACTCCCTTCCGGCACATGTCTTCCCTCCCTCTTATGATATGGGGTCCTTCAAACGAGGCGTGAAGAGGCATATTGTAGGCAGGCAGGGTGGAGGTGGCTAGTGCAGTGAGGATTTCATCGCTGCACTAGGTTCCTTCGCGTTTGGATACCACTTTCCACTTAACATCAGGTGGAGTGGAGGCATTTGCCTGTCATGTATAATAATAATAATACAACAAAGTTTATATGACATTAACAAAATACTTATTTATTTATTAATTACATATAGATAGATGGCCTTACACGGATGAGAAGGATTTTGATACAAGAAGTTGTATTAAAATATTTGTTACATGTTAAATGTTGTTAAATGTTCTTTTGTGAACGATAAAATGTGTGTTGTAATAATAATTTCTCATTACTGTGCCATCTTTCTCATTTATGTTTATGAGAAAATCATTCGTGTTACTGCAATCTCATTCGTGTGACCTAAACTGTCGTTTTTTGTTGTATTTAACTTAAATATTTCGGTGATTTTATAACTATTCACATTGCTTGAACTTATTTGTACGTTTAAGACCTTAAAACCAATAGAAAAAAGAGTTTTGCAAAAATCACTCAACAAGTGCCAAGTGCAACTCAAAAAATGCCGTTGAAATTCGGAAAGTGAAATTCACCCAGGTATTGTACTAAGCTCAGCGTCGCACTGTTTGGACTTCATGAGTGATTAAGTATTTATTTATGTTTAAAAATACCGGTTGTGTCTGTAAACATTGTAAAAGTTGTCCTCAAAAACAAAACAAAAAATGATGGAATATCTGTTCATAGGGCCATTGTTAATTTAACTGTTTTGTAATTTATTAATCCGATATTTTTTGAGATTCACTCGAAACACAAAACCTCGAATTTGTATATCTTGCCAATTTATATCGAAATAGGTTTTATGTAAATATGCATGGGTGATAGGAGCATCGAATAATTTATAATTTTGTATAGAAATTAAATAATGCATGCATTGCATGTACACACAGAATGGTCCAATTACAGCGGATCCAAAATTGTTTATATGTAACTCAGATTCACCTAAATTATTCTCAAACCAATCTCTAATCGCCATAATGTATGTAACTACTTATAAGAAAATGTTCAACAGCTAAAATTGTAGCCCTATAGATACGTATATTATATGTGCACATGTCATAAACAGAGTGATTTTGTAAGAAAACGTGTCAATAAAATTGAAAAAATTATTGTAATGTATGTACGTACATGCATACATAGGTAGGTACATGATTTCACAGGTTCTAAAGTTTCATTGGGAAACAACAATTTTTGTCAAATAATTATGAACACAATAATCATCAATGCTATGGCGTTGATTACAAAGTTAATTTAATAAAAATTTTAATAGAAAAGTATTTGTTGGCGAGATTGCACTACATATCAAAATTAGAAACGAATGCTGGATGTATAGACGCGAAAGGGTAGTATTATAAAAAATGTGTACAAAATAAAGGTTAATCATTGAATACCAATTCAATAAAAAATTAAAAATAAAGGTTATTAAGATATTGTGTAACTGCGATTGTAATAAATATTTTGAACCATCAAAGTTTTCCAATTTAAAATATCATAAAATATTATTTCTGTTGTGTGATGCAAATCAAATAATAACAATTAAAGATTAACTTATATTGCATGTAATTTGTTTGATATCCTAATATCACTTAAGTACCTATATTGCAAAATAATATTTCCAGTTTGTGACAGTATTATAGAAAGCAACAAAAAAATACGTGAGTTTGTTCGCAGCATCTGGCAATCTTACACGCACACAAATGCGCATGTCCCTACAGTGCACCTCCTAGTTGTCACGCACACAATAAATAATAATCTCAGTACCGAGTACTAAAAAAACCGACCTCAAAAGTACGTGGAATTACATCTATTTGCCAAGTTTTATTGAAATATCCCCTAGTTCGCCACTATACAGGACTTGACACAGGAGATAATAAAAATCGATTTTCACTACTCAAAAGTATATTAAGAGAGAAAACGCCTTGAATTGGAGAATAGCAAAATCAACCATTAAAATAATTGCTCCTTAAGTAAAATTTAGGCGCTATGTATGAATGTGAAAAATGAATGTTCATGCGTGATCAGCCACCCTTAGAGATGGATGATTTTCTTCAAAATGAAATGGAACCACTATGGAGGTAACCTCTTTCCAACAAAAAAAGAATCATGAAAATCGGTTCACAAATACCGGAGTTATCGCGTAACGTATATACAAAAAAAAAGTCGAATGGAGAACCTCCTCCTTTTTTTGAAATCGGTTAAAAAGTGCCCTTCACTTCGTTTGTTACATATGCTCCATCTGCCTATTGTTTTGTAATTTGAGGGTACCAACTTAATTGATTACAAATGTAGGGCGGAAATTCAAAATACGTACGTACGTCAATAGCACTACTACTATAAGCTTAACACTTACGATTTAAATTCAACTCTATGCCTTTTGCTATATGAACGGTCAGTGTCAAACTTGATTGCTCTTGACTGTACATGCGTAGCACCAAGGTATATCTTATATACTTATCTAGACAGTGAGGAGAGTGGTGGGTGGCGAGGTGAGGTACCTACGAGTTTCTAGGCATATTCTATTTCCATTGTGTTTTGCAAAATTATCCAAAACATGTTGATTTCAACGGGGACATAAACTACCATACGATTCACGATCACACGCTTAAAGAGCGAAATTATTATACTGCAACATGACTGCAACTACGGTTTTGCTTGGTGTCTATTGGCTTTTAACGTTCTATGAAAAAGGTATGTCAAAAAAATGCGACGTGTTGGTACAGTCAAGAGCACAGATCATATAAATGGTCCCAGAGCACATTGGGTCGTTTATAGTAGACATACTCTGGAACCTATAGCGAGCAGTACGAAATAACACAAAAAAGAATTTCGGTATAAAAACAGACTAGGTTTATTAATCAAAATGCTTTATAAATTGAATAACGATCACCGTAAACTTCTTATAAAATATCATGTTATTCTTAAAAAAATACACATTATTAAAAAGTAAATATAAACCCTTTGTAAATTCACTAGACACCTACATTCTAGGTACCTACATTCATATATACAGGGTTACTGGTAACTCGACGTATTCCTTGCAGGACGTCATAGTAGGGTTAAAATGCAGCAAATTAGGCCAACAAATGTTCTACCGAAGTTCAGTAGTTTTTGAGTTATTTAGATTTTAAGGTTTTTATGAAAAAAACCCAGATTAAATAATTTGAAGCCAATTCAAAAATGATTTACAGCGGGAAAGTGCTGAAATTTAAGTTAATATCATAGTTGATGACATAGCAGAGCTTTGTAAATAATTAAAAGTTCAAAAATGCCAAAATCTTTGGCAAATATCACTGAAGAAACATTTTTTTTTTGTAATTTTCGCTATTACTTCATACTATACAAAATGTTGTCTAGTGAAAAAAAAAATACTACGCCTGATGTACAAGTTATTAGAAAAATATCCTTGTCTTATCAGCTATCCAAAAAGGTATGATTGTCAATAGTTTTGCATGTGTGACAGGGAAGGGAAGAGTTTTATGAGGAGGGGGTAAAATTACGAGACGGTCAACCTATTGTTTCATATTCGTATTATTCGTAGTTTTTACCTGCGCTTCAACTCCAAACACTCGGCAAGCTTTGTGATTGGTCACTATTGTTCTCTCGGCATGACACGGGGTGCGACTTTACAAAATCTGGTCGTCAGCGTCAGTTAGTTTCAACTCTACGTCGCGCAAGCTCGTGTTTTGTTATCTGGCTATTTCCTTAACTGATACCGCGTATCTTGCTCTTGTGCTGCGCTGTGCCTTCATAAGTGCTGACTATGGCGGCATATTCTAACCCTGAATACGCTGACATAATGTACTGTTACGGACTTAGTGACGATAACGCTGCTCAGGCGCGGAGAGAATATCAACGTCGCTTTCCCAACCGCCGACTCCCACACGTTAGTGTTTTTGGATCGACTTATCGGCGGATATCTGAAACTGGCAGCGTCCAAAGAAGCAGGCAAATTGACACTGGTCGTTCTCGGAGATACACGGCTGAGGACGAAGAGCTGATTCTTCAACGTTTTATTGACGACCCCAACATATCGACAAACATCGTAGCGCGTGAGCTTGGTATGTCACAGTGGAAAGTTTGGTCTGTAGTTCACTTGTCAGGCCGACATCCATACCACTATCAATCTGTCCAGTCATTAGAAGAGGGAGATCCGCCAAGACGGCTTGAATTTTGTCGTTTTATGCTAAGTGCCGACGCTGAAAGCGAAGACTTTTTAAAAAACATTCTGTGGACTGATGAGTCATGTTTTGACCGTGATGGTATCACAAATTACCACAACTTACATTACTGGGCACCGAAGGCAGAAGCAAATCCTAAGAAACTGAAACCAACCGCATCCCAGCGTAGGTTTTCGCTTAATGTTTGGATGGGTATTATCGACGACAAATTAATTGGCCCACATTTTTTACCTATTTTTATGAGTTACCAGTAACCCTGTATATATAAATCTATTTATTATTATATATATATTATTTATATATAAAAATCATAAAAGAATGCTACTATAATGTCTTAAATATGTTGAGAGTAGATAAATCTGCTCATTATTTCTTGGTGGAAATCGTAAAACTAAAAATAAATAGCATCATTAGTAAAAAAAAACAGAAGTGGTCGATTTATCTAAATTGCTCTCAAGTATGTGTAGTTACATTTTTTCTATTGTCACTATAGAACAAATTAAATTAGAAATTGACTATGAATACTAAAGACTTGCAAATAAACAATACTCTTACCCTAATAACCATTTTTTAATTGATCAAAATTCACTTTATTATGCTTACTATTGTTATATAAGGCACACTTCACATCATTATCTACTGTACATGCGTGGTATACATGCTAAACGCCATGCCATGCCATTCGATTAAGACGATGATTTTCGATATTGGCAATTAATGTCGAAAAGCAACAAATTCATTTAAAAACAATAAAATGCATTCTTGGTGTGAAGTGTGCGTAAGAAAATAATTACCCAGACAAAATTTTAGTGATGTCAATAAATGATTTTTGTAAAGCTTCAACAAACTGCGTGCTGTCGTTGTGCGTACGGTAGCTTGATACTGCCGCACCTAATTTGTCGGCGAATGCTGAATATCTGAAAAAAAAAAACACATTTAATACTTATAACCCAGAAACTAGATTATATTTGTGACGGTGTGACCTCCTTTCACCGTCATCTCACCTTTTTGTAACGCCTCTCTCTTCTTGTATCCTATCATTTTTTTTTATTTTACGTGTATTTAAATTTTAAATTTGAATTGTTCCATCTTCATTCACTTTCTCATTTTGTTTTCGTACCACGGTCACTCCCAGCTCGACCGCCACAACAGTCGGAGCTGTTAATAAGCTAATCATGTGTAACAACTTATAAGTCTACACCCTTCATGTATCTATTTCTGTAATTCAGTTTCTCGGCCCATTTAGGGCCTTTCTTTAAACTTTACATCTTTAATAAATTTTGTGGACCGGAAGTTTCCCATTTCATTGCCGTGAACCTGTTCACGGCTAGTTAGGGTTACAACCCTTTCATATTTTTATTAACATTTACGCGGTTGGACCGACAAAATATTTTAGGAGTTTGGGGGTCATTTCTTAGCTTTAACTCGCTGACCCCTACTTGTCACGGTAATAGAAATTATTTAATTACATTTTTATTTAATTACACAAAATCTCGCCTTATGATGTGTAAAGAAACTAGTTTATGCTACAAAGGGGACCTAAAATAAATTGTAATAGAAAGAATTAGCACCGCTTTTGATACTATGGAAAAAAGAACTGCGATTTGGAACAACAACAAACTGAAGTAAGAAAAAGATGCCATGTAAAAATTTTAACTGCTTACGTGGCCGAACCGTTACTATGCTGGACTGCCACGCGGAGGTCCCAGGTTCGATTCCCGAGCCGGGAGAAATATTTGTATGGCCTATATTTATTTTTCTCGTGAGTTTGGATGTAATTTGTAGTTGTCTATGTGTGTGTCCATGGCACCCGCGATACAGGGTTTCCCTAGTACGGGGCTATGAGTGTGCGTTATTAATAATTATTATTATGTAAAACAGAGGCGGATAATTTGAGCAAAACTTGTAATAGTTAAGAATGAAAAAACTAAAACTAAAAACGTCTTTTTATTAATCTTATTTTAACCTTGTAATTCATTATTTAGTTAGCACCTTTTATGTAGTATCTCTTAATTCTCCCTTCGGTACAATTGGTCTACTTTTACCATTCGTCCACTTGTTTTTCCCGATTCGTCTATTTCCCATTTCGTCTACTTTCCTGTTTGGTCTACTTTTCAATTTCATCTACTCTCCTGTTTGGTGTACTTTCCCGTTTGGTCTACTTTACCATATGGTCTACTTTCCCGATAGGTCTTCCTTAATGATGCGTCTACTCAGATAATCTCAGTATAGAGTACTGAAAAAACCGACTTCAAAAGTATTATTCATTTTTTTTTGTAAAATGTTATTAATTTACATGCTTAAAACGTGGACCATTTGGACAAGTGGATCAATCAGGACAGTAGACCGATCTGGAAATGAAACGAAATTTAAAATGGACGAATCGGGAAAAACAAGTGGACAGATCGGGAAAGTAGACGAATAGTGAAAATCGACCGATCGGGAAAGTAGACGAAATGGGAAATAGATGAATCAGGAAAGTGAACCATTTGGACAAGCGGAACGATCGGGAAAGTAGACGAATAGCGAAATTGGACCGATTGTGAATGTAGACCGACTGTACCGAAGGGCTTATTCTGACCACGTGTCGAATGATTTCTATGACATGTAGCATTATGGTTGGACAAGTTTTTAAAATGAAGTTAATTTCAAAATCATTTTTGGTTTTTATGTGAGCTTCAAAAACTCATATATTTATTAACTAAGTATAAACGAAAACCAACAACTAAATAAACATTTACCCAATACCGAGTCCTTCCGGGATAACTGGTCCGAAACCTCCAGCGAGTACACTAGGTGATGACAACGTACTGGTGCTTAGTATGGATTTGTTTAAAATCTTGTATTCGTAAGAATCGAACAACTCTGGTGTCGGTATATTGTTGTCTTGGGCGATTTTCATTAATGCGAACAGATGACGGTCAAACCCTTGGCCCATTGCAGCTTGTTTGACAAGCTCGGAGTGCGTTGTAGAACACTCTTGCAAGATTGCTCGCAAATCATCCTTAGAAGCCTTCTTACTATGGAGGCCGTCACAAAACGCCTGTGAACAATTGATTATGTAACGTTTATACCAAAATATATGTATAGAACATACATAATGAAAGGTAAATTAACAGACACGAAATACATAAAAAAACAATCCAATTATTGTTACTTTATTTATTAGTTAAATAGATTATCATTATTATTACTAAGTTCATATCGCAAAGCACGCTTGTCGCCCGTCTTGACAAACCCACACGTTTTTCTGGTCTTAAAAAGGTATCTAGTTAAATAAGTGTCAAGTCAAAAATATAGACATCATCATACTGCAAAATTGTATAAATAGGTAAAATTCGAGAATGGGGGGTTGGTGTACTTTAACACAGGGTAATCTCTAGTATAGATTCTGCTCTCTCATCATAGCCCAACAAATTACAAGTTAAGCTCTTATGTGTGACCATCTTAAAATCAGTGCCACTGTAATTGGAAAGCTGTGGTTAATCATAATAATATATTGTTGTCAACCTATTAAAACAATAATTATTTTATTTATATTCATTTAATGACAAATTACACATTTCTTATTAAATGAATATGCATTCAATAAAAAACAAGTTGTATTGAATATCGTCCAAATACCTTCCTAAACTCCATATCACATAGGATGGGTACTGTCACATTTCAAATATTTACGTTACATGCATCTTTCAATCAGGTTACTGAAAGAAATAGTGAATTCGTTGTAATAATTATACCAAAAACAAACAATATTTGTTACAGTTATAATTTTAAGTATGTTAAGTTGATAGAAAATGAAATGTATATATTGAGATTTTTTGTGAAATAACTCCACTATATAATAACTCCACAATAGAATCGATAAATCGCGTAGGTTATTGTGTAGCTCACGTCAATACGTGTACAAATTGTATTACAATAACCTTGTATGCAGGCATCGAGTATATACTCGATGTATGCAGGTAATTTTCTTTTGTTTTGAGTTTTGGATGATGTATTTGGGAGTCATTGTTATAATTTCGTTGGTTTGCTGTTGATTTTATGCTTCGTTGTAGAATTTTCGTTTGGTTGTTGTCGATTTTTTTAGTTTGCTGTGTAGTTTTTTAGTAACTTAATAACATTTCCTTTCTCCTTCCCCTTTGATTCTTTTTGATACGTTTATTATCGTTCTTAAACAAAATCTGCAAATCGATTCTTTGTTCGGCATAAATTATATCGATAAGATACTTAAATAGATTTATTTTCATTCGATTTACATCACTAAAGCTACATACAAACGTCACCGTACCCATGCTATGTGTAATGAGCTGTAGTTGGCAATATTGACGCCCCACTATTAGAAGGAATATTATTATTTGATCCTCAAAGAAATAGTTGATCTATTGTAAATACGCACTTTTTTAAATAAACGATATTTTCTTTATGTTTGATATATGGGTATATTAATTGTTCCATCTACTTATATTAGTTGGTCTACGGATAAATTATAAATAAACTTAATTCAAGATTACATTATTTTTTTATGATACATAGGGCGCACTATAAGTTTTCGGAACTGGCCACTTACATAAACAATATTTAAAAAGTAATTACAACATTTGAAAATGGAACTCTTTGGCTGTAGAATACAGTTTGTTTCATCTGACTGTCACTTGTTTTCACATTGCGGCGTTATTTTAGAAATTGGTTGTCTACAACACTATTGATTTAGCTCATGAAAATTGTCGTAGTATGATTTTCTACGACATTAAGTGTAATTTAACAGCTCAGCGGCGCTTCGCTCGGCTTGGAACTGCTTTTGGCGATGAAGCAAGCCAAGAAACCATGCAAGACGACTATTTGTAGCTGGTTCGCAGAATTCAAACGCGGTCGTGTGAATTTCAGTGAAGAACTTCGTGATGGTCACCCGTCCACTGCTGTGAACAACAAAAACATCGATGCTGTGCGCCGGATGATCAAAACAGACAGGCAGACATACTATGAGATTCGGTCATCTTTAGGCATAGGCATGAGTCAAATACAATAAATACTACACAAACATTTGGGTGTGAAAAAGCTGTGCTCTCAGTGGATCCCACACAATTTGACTGAGGCTCAAAAACGGATCGCGTCACTTGACACACCAGATTCAATGAAGGGGCGTCAAATTTGGTGTAGGACGTAGTAACAGGTGACGAAACATGGATTTATAGTTACGATCCCAAAACAAAGCAGCAATCGAGCGTATGGGTCTTTCGAGATGAACTGAAACCAACCAAAGTGGCGCGCGTGCAAAGTGCCTCTAAGCGGATGGTTGCTTCTTTTTTTAATAAAACTGGACACGTGGCTACTGTTGCTTTGGAGAATCGTTGTACCGTGAGTATTGATTGGTACACGACCATTTGTTTGCCGGAAGTTATTGATAAACTCCGTAAAAGTAACCGTAAGCACCGTATCATCTGGCACCACGATAATGCCAGTTCTCACACGGCCAGACAGACAAATTAATCTTTGAGGGTGAACAACGACCTTATGAGCCATTCCGCGTTCAGTCCCGACCTGGCACCTTACGACTTTTATTTATTTCCAAAAATTAAGAACCAGTTACGCGGTCAACAATTTTCATCACCTGTAAAGGCTGTCGAAGAGTATGAAAAATATGTTTCAGAGATTATCACGGAGGAGTGGCATAAATGTTTTCAAAATTGGTTCATTCGTATGAAAAAGTGCATTAACGCTAACGGAGAATATTTTGAGAAACAATAAATTAATTTCTGACCATTTATAGTACTTTTTTCTTATTCATTCCAGAAACTTATAGTGCGCCCCACGTACTAAGTGATATATAAACTTAAACATAATAATAGCTGCAGTAGAGCTCCTTGTGAAAGAGTTCACCCAGTGATGAGACGAACAAGTCGTGCGCTTGATGGTAAACGACACGCCTGTCCATAACAGTTGCAGTGCCACTCAGGGCTCTAAATCTCAATGATTTGAAAGAAGTGCTACTGGTGCTTCAATAGGTGTTTAGAAAATACTTACGCGTTTACATATTTATATCTGAGGTGTCAATATACACTCCGTGTCAATATACAGGGTGTAACAGAAAGGTGTGGTCATATTTGAAGCTCGGACTCAGTTAATGGTATGAAACTAGTTAGCAAAGTTGTTTTAGTACACACTACGTTATTTATGGAAATTTCGCCATGAACAGTTTCGATCAGCTGATGTCATTTAACGAAAATAAATAGTCACATCACATCTCTATTGAGTATCATAATACAACCAAATTACGTAACTTGAAAAAATTGTGAAATTCAGGCATGTTATTGTAAATGATAAAGTACTTAATGCCATATTCTTATTACTATGTTATAATTTACTAAATTTATTATTATTTTATTCATGTAATATGCGTGTGAACATTTAATGAAAAATAAATATTATCGATTACTTTGCCAAAATACACTACTTCATAATAAAACTATTATTTAAAACTTAGTACATAATAACGTAATATGGTTTCGTTAACTTCATATCCTCAAACATACAAAATACACAAATTTCCATTTAATATCCATTAATAAAACTAATGTCCTCTAAAAAACACATATTTAAAGTTATCTCTGTTTCTTTTTACCATATCATATGTAATAATACGCATTCATCTATTGTATTTCAATGAATGAAATTTGTCTCTTTCTATCCGTCGGTACTGTTCTAACGCATGGCGGCTAGCGAATCAGTCGGTATGTTTCTTCTAACGCATGACGCAATATGACGCAATTATCCGACTAATACTTCGCACCCTTACAATGAAAGTGACCCAAATCAAAAAATTAAAAAATGAGTTTATACCGTAAAAATATCTTAAAAAAATATTTTGTTACATTAGTCACACTGCTGCACTGTGGTGAAGATGAAATTGTGCAATTAAAGCTCGAATAGCACTGATTCATAAAGGTCCCTTTCATTTTGTTCTTTCAGTTTAAAAATTCTACTCCCGCGTCGAAATATTAACGCTGCATTTATTGTTGAATCTGCATTTGCAAAGACAACACGCTGCCACTGACGGATTAGCATTTGAGCCATTTTCGTTCCGAAAATCATATTCAAAAATCACTAGTAGCAGTAGAGCTCCTTGTGAGTTCGTCCAGCGTAGTACTGCCACTTTACCGTGTTACAGTTTTGAAGGGTAAGGGTGCTGGTGAAATTACAGGCACATGGGACTTGTCAACTATGTCTCAGAGAGATGGACGCCGTAGCAGTAGTCTTCGAGCGGCAGTGCTACTGTTATGGACAGGCGTGACGCTTTCCACCGGGTACACGACTTGTTCGACCCGTCGCTTAATATTTAAAAAAAGTACATTTTTTTAGTAACTTACTTTTTAAAGGGACTTACTATTTTGTTTCGTGGACTTTCTTCTTTTTTAATTGTGAAACAGGGACCACAAAACAATATCAAGGGTTATGACATCTTGCTTAGCTGATGAACATTAAAAAGACTTAATTCTTAATACGTTAAATGATAACAAAAAAATCGTTAAAAAAAAGATCTATTGGCGGCTAGTTTTTGTAAATTATGTTTTTAAATTGTTGAACATTAAAATGATCAGAAACAATTTTCAGTTGTAAAGTTCCATTTTTCCTCATTATTTTCAAAGACTAATAACGCCATCACTTTTAGTACTTCAAGAGTAATAAATAAAATAATATGAAAATGTCACAACTTGAAATCTTATGTTGCGTATTCCCGTAAGTAGAAATTTTGTATTGGGACACTTTCATCGTAAAGGTGCAATCTGAAGGTCGGCAAGCGTCAAGAAATTAGTTTTGATCGTTGACCACGAATTAATTATTGTAATTTTCATCTTTTGCTTGGAAATGAAAATATCGGGAGAAAACTTGGATTTCGGAGATAATTGCCGAAATCTTCAAAGATGCGAGAATGTCATGTCTCCAACCAGTACTTACTATGCAAGTGTAGTGGACTAAACCTTGTGCAAAAATAGTACTTTACTAACTTACATACGTCTATTGCTGAGCACACGTTTCTAACAACAGGTTTACGCTTAATTTGACTTATCTACACACGACAACTTTCTGTGTATGGGTTTATTACATGGTGAAATTGAAATAATTAACATCCGTTGAACCTGTTAAGGTTCTTACTTCCTAATAATATCTACTCATCTAAAGAAATATTTTAGAATAGTTTAAATTAGCAATAGTGTAAAACCATAAAAAATCTTACCTAAATAAACAAAGTATCAAGATTAGTCGCCTTGCGTACGCGATACGTATTCGTAGCGAAGTCGCAAGTCTTTGGCGGCAACTTTAGCGGCAAAAATATCACCTTTGACTTTCACCGCCAGCATTTGATTTTATACATCGTGATGTGGAGTAGTGATTAATGTTAGACTCGTTTCGGAGGTCGTGGATTCGATTCTCATAGTTGACTGGCTCTATGGTGTAGTTGTTAGAGTGTTAGGTTTTCTTTTTGGATGTCGTAGATTTGATTCCCATGTTCGACTGCCTCCATAGTCTAGTGGTTAGAGCGTTAGGCTTTCTTTTCGGAAGTCGTGGATTTGATTCCCATAGTCGACTGCCTCTATGGTGTAGTGGTTAGAGTGTTAGGCTTTCGTTTCGGCGGTCGTGGATTTGATTCCCATAGTCGACTGCCTCCATGGTCTAGTGGTTAGTGTCAGGCTTTCTTTTCGGAGGTCGTGGATTTGATTCCTATAGTCGACTGCCTCCATGGTGTAGTGGTTAGAGTGTTAGGCTTTCGTTTCGGAGGTCGTAGATTTGATTCCTATTGTCGACTGCCTCCATGGTGTAGTGGTTAGTGTGTTAGGCTTTCGTTTCGGACGTCGTGGATTTCCGATGGGTGACTGCCTCCTTAGTGCAGTATATCCGTAATCACCCAGTCAGTTCTTGCGTCGTGTGGAAGTGGTACGGGTGATGGCTATGTTTACAAACAAAGGCGTATGCAGTGCAACGTTGAAGGTCGTAGATACGTAGGATATAGGTATTCGTTTAATGTGTATGTAAAAATTACATAATTTGTACCATGAGAAGGGTCTTATTTTAAAAGCATGGTAATAATTTTAATTTCATCCGGTAGGTACATTATGAAAACGTTACCCTATATTCCAAAATTTGCGTTTCAGTCGGCGTCCTTTGATGTGCCGCAGCTGAGGCAGAGGCACTATTTTTTAATTTTTTGTAACAGTCTGTAATTGCCGTTTGCGTTGTGAGGACTAAATAGGTGTCATCGTTTTGTTTGTGTCTCGTTTTTGTGTTTATTTAAACTATGTCACGCTTAAGCAATAGTGATTATTAGAGATGATGTTGTGCGTAGGCGCAGCCGATGGGAGCTTGCGCCAGCCTCGCCAAATTTATTGATGGCGTCCCAGAAAATCGACGTTGACTATTTCCTACTCTGGAATGCTTCAGGAAGATGGTTATGAGACTTCATAATAGTGGATCGTTCCGTGGTTCCAGTTCTGAAGGCCGGCCGAGTTCACGAGACCCAGAATTCGAGGCAGATGTTTTGGGACATTTTCTCGGCAATCCAAAGACAAGTACTCGTCATGCTGCGGCAGCGTGTGCTACGGGATGACGGCCAGCACCCATACCATTTTCAAAGAACGCAGGAGCTGTTACAAGCGGACTATGATCCACGTTTGGCATTATGCCGCTGGTACCGCGACCAGGTTGGGAGGTTTCCCGACTTCGCTTCGTCGGTACTGTGGACAGACGAGGCGTCATTTACGCGTGCGGGCATTATCAATATGCACAATGAACATTTTTGGACTCATTTGAATCCCCGCGTATCAAGGGAATCAAATTTTCAACACCAGTGGCGGATTAACGTGTGGGCTGGTATAATAGGTTGTGCCGTCATCGGTCCAGTGTTTTTGCCGGCAAGTCTGAATGGGGCCAATTATTTAAGATTCCTAACAGAAGACTTTGATGACGTTCTGATGGCCCTGCCAGTGACACAATACGTGAGACTCGTGATGGAACACAGGATGACTTTCCAGCACGATGGAGCACCCGCACATTTTGCTCGAAATGTAAGTTCCCATCTGAACGACCGTTTCCCGCAGTGGATTGGGCGGGGAGGTCCTGTACCCTGGCCAGCGCGGTCCTCAGACTTGACACCGCTCGATTTTTTTTTATGTGGTCATATAAAAAATATTGTTTATGCGGAGTCCTGTGAAAGCGCAGAAGAAATGAGGCAGCGGATCGAAATGGCGTTTAGTCAAATCACTCGGCAGATGCTTCAAAGAGTAGAGCAGTCTCTGTACCGACGCACGGAAATATGCATATTACATGGAGGTCGGCATTACCTCAAAACCAAAAAAGGAACCTTACCTGTAAATGTGTGAAATGTGCCAGCAGTGCGTGCAGTGATTGTACTTATTATTCAAAATTATCGTAATCAAGTCAATATTTCGTACATTGTACAACAGTGAATTACAATTCGTAGGAAATTCATTAAAACGTGTATGAATTGAACAGTAGGTAAGTACCAATTAAAAAAGTATCCACTATTGTAAAATTGTCGTAAATAAATGTATTAATACGAAACTATGTAGAATGTGTATACGATGAAGGCGTGCGTAACTACGGGCTTAATAAGTAAATAAATATTCTTTAAATTGTATGTAAATAAGTACGTACGCGTACCTAGGTATGGCATAAAATAATGTTGTTAGAGATAATTCGATTTTTTATGTATTTAAAGATTTTGTTACTTAATATTAACGTATTATCAACATATTTAAATCATGTTTTTACAATGGCATTTCAATTGTAGTCAGCTGTTCTTTCGCCCCGCTTGCGGCCGCCCAGGTTTCATGAATGAATTTGTGAAGTCGTAGTAACGTAACTAGCAATAGAGTTGTGACGCAGTGGTTGTTTCGGACAATCACTATTTATACAAACATAAACTTATATCAACAATAAAAGTCACTTATTTTTATTTGATATTTTGCACACAGGGTCTAAATCAAGTGTACATTTGGGTCCTTTAATATGACCACACCTTTCTGTTACACCCGGTATAACATATGCTATGCAATATTAGTACTACGGACAACGGCACATCAGACTACATATTTTTGTTCGAAAATCGTTTCCAGTGCAACGGAGCAAGATACGTCATGTGTAGCTTGATTTGCCGGCGTGTGTACATTCAATGGATCGAGGGCAAAAACAAAAATTCCACGGTACCATTAATGGGACAATGGCAAAAAAATGCCTCTGTACCATCAATGGCACTGTCTAATGGTACTACAGTAAAGAAAGGATAATAACAAATAGGACTTTCATCATACTGCAAAGAAAGAAAACAAAATAAATAAAATATGTACGCAGAATAAAATATTATAGTTTTATCACAAAACATAGCCACATTAGATTAGTGTAAAAACTTACAAAAGATTTCATATTTACATACCTTAGTATGCACGGTACATGGCCTCATCGCTTCAGTCCTGCCATGTTTAAAAGCTGAAGTACTGCACGACTCGTAAGTGCCGACATACTTACCATGGAGCAGGTGGAACGCAGCCTGAAATAATTCATATATCATAATGAGTAAATAACATGCATACTCGAATATGAAAATAATATTCACCATAAAAACCTTTTTAAAGTGATCTTTTACTTGTATACAGGTGTAACGGAAATGTGTACAGGAATTTAAAAAATGTAGTGAGTTACAATGAAAAAGTAATTTTGCATTGATTTTTTGTTCAATAGTTTGTTTAATTAAATTAATTTATATATTTTAAGACTTTCTTATCGAAAGAAGATAGACATAATGTCTGTTCTTGAATGAATCAGTAACAGAATTAGAATGAGATCGCCACTTGTACTGAAGGTACAAGGGGCATGAAGCGGTGGCAGAGGAAGGGCTGTAGGGGTGTGTGTGGAGGCCCATCATAGGGATCAGAGGATCCCACTGCATCAGATCCGGAGGATCGATATGAGGTCAAGGACCTGTTAGGACAATTATAGTAGTCCCATGAAGTAGAATGGAGTTAGAAGAAGTGTACATAAAAAAAGATACTCTATTTAAAGGTTGTTGTGATAGAAAGAATGTCGCATATGTAATTTACGTTATGATGGAACCTTAGGCGTGGCGACACCTATGTTTCGATCAATCAAATTTAGAGATGTCGTCGCTGGAAATCATTACGCCAATTTTAAAAAGGGCCACCAATATGGGACAGCAAAAATATCGACTATAAAAATAGAAGTATCACTATAGAGAACAATAGAGATACTATTTGTTCATAATTAGTGTGAGTTCAATTTTGCCTTGATATTTCTAAGAATATAGTCAAACGTTTCGACGGTCATTCTAGCGTTATCGTAGAACATATCCGGATTTTGTCTTTGGTCTTTGTAATTTTGGCGAAACTCGCCCTTTTGCTTTGTTTGTTTGTAGTGCTCACGTCGAGAACATACTGCCGCCGGCATCTCTCGCGCAATCGCGCCGCCACTCGATCTGTCGTCCGAATACACCATCATGTTTTGACGCTTTTTGTTACACCCTGTATATGCGTGCTTTTTTGTTATAACCTCTATATATTGATATATTATGTTTTAACGTCAGGCACTCCTCACGGGCAAATTAACAGCAAAAAAATCCTTATCATATATATAATCTTATCTGGTTAAGTATTGTAGTAAGTTTTTTGTTAAATAACCTAATTTTATATCTTCACATTACCTGAAAACCAAGCTGCATAATACAATCGGGACTGACTTTGAACTTTTTGCAGGCTTCCTTAGTCAGGCCCTCATACAGTATGTAGTCTATACTTAAAGAGTCACACCAATCCTTGTACTCATTTTTAGCCTTTTGAATGAAAAGTTTAGACTTGTCATCTAGCTCGAGATCTATAATCGTAAATATAAAACAGGCCTTAATTCAGCATTGGTCGATTAAGGCCAAATAGATGAAAAGTATATTAATTTAATTGTGTAATTGTGTTATTGTTCTCTCAGTTTTTCGTTGTCATTTCGCTTTCGTTACGTGGTAACGAGATCTATGTGGATAGACTTTGAGACTTTAGAGATTTCTTCATAGAAAAGTTAAAATGTTTTACAAAATAGCAAATAAACCACATACCTAATTTAGTTACATTTATGTTACTATTTGCTGGCTTTGTGTCTGGGTGAATGAATGGTTTCTTTATGGTTTCCGCATATATATCCTGAAAGAATCTTAGCACGGCGACCCCATCGCCCCAAGAGTGTTCGAAGTTTATACCTGACACTCCGTCTCGAGTTACAATTAGGCTGAAAGACTTGTCAAACCACCTGGAAAATTAAGTTCGTTTTTCAATACGTTTATTAAAAAATATTATAAATTTTGACTTAATTTTTATATGCACTATATATGCCTATATTTAGTAGATTGTACAACAAGTGCATAAAACGCGTCATTTAACCCGGGACGAGTATATCCACCCGAGCCGTAGGCATGGATTCTTAAGTCGACTCTGCTTTTCACTTCGATGGCGAGGAAATCAAACAGTAATATTACAAATAAACGATTATTTAATTAAAATTGAATGCTAAATTCAACAATTAGATATATTTGATGTGATTGTTTTTCCTGGCATATTCAGTGCATTACTTTGTATTTTATTATGAACTTGAGATGCCTTTATTTTATAAAGTTCCAGTTCCAGTGTGCGCGGCTGTTTTTAACGACGATTTTATTTTATGCGCTAGAGCATAAAATCCTATTTTAAGTAGCCTATACCCAGCATAAATACGAACTTTAAGTGCATGAGAAGTGAAAATGTTATTTGTACATAATATTTTAAGTGTTGTCAACTAAATACCATCGCGCTCCATGTCGACAAAGTTTTCAGCAGTAAGAAGTGATATAAAACTCATAAATCTGCATTTGCAAAGTTGTGTATATCGCATGTGTTGCTAGTGGTAGTGCTAAGTTGGCTTCCCACAGCGCGCGGTTTCACGGGCCGCGCCGCGTGCCAACGCGCCGTGGGAAGAGAGCTCGCGCCAATGCGTGCGTCGTGGTGGGAAGAAGGCCGTCTGAGGAGCGATGGGTGAGTTGAGTTAGTAAGAGTTACTCCCACAACGAGTCGACTCGAGATGCTTTTTATGAACTCGAGCTAACACAATTCGGTGCCCGTACCGCTGCGCTTGCTCGCCCGTGGCCGCCTGTTCGGATTCGCCGTGAGTAGGTAACTTCAAAGGAGCTACGTGAGTGCGCGCGTGGCGACCCGTGACTTTTGGCGCTCATTCGGTATTTGGCAGCCTTCAAATTAATAACTTATATGAGTTCGAAAAACAAACTGTGCTTGTTCAATTCAATAAAATCTTAACAAATGACATCCACCAGGGTAGTACTTTTGTTTTTTTTAAACAAATCGGGTATATTATAGCCACTGCATAAAACAAAAGTGGCAGCAGAAATAGCTATGCTTTTTTCATGCGACATTTTCCAACGGTAGCTCAAACCAGACAAAATTGGTGAAATTACAGGCACATAGGACTTGTCAACTTGTGTCTCTGGGTGATAGGCGCAGCGGCAGTGCCCCTGAGATCTTTGCGATTTAAAGCTCTGAGTGGCAATGCAACTGTTATTGACAGGCGTGTAGCTTACCGTCATGCACGACTTGTTCGTCCCATCACTTGATTTCATAAAGTATAAAAAAAATATAGACTAAGTGCCTAAGCGCCGCGAGGGTTGGCGCGAGGCCGCCCGGGCACGCCCGTGGCGCAAGCCCAGTCCATTCAAATCGGCGCGATGCACACTGGTCGGAATTTAGACCTTCCCTTATATACATTACACACATACATTTAAAAATAATGTGGCGTTTCTTTTTATAAAAAAATAAGTGCGCATTTGACCTCCTTCTCACCTGATGGATAGTGACGATGAGGTCGAGGCTGTAGCATGTACATCTAAATAATGCCTATTCACTCTCGCCTTGAAAACGTCCAAGTTATAGCGTTCGGGGAACAAGTCTGCAGGCAGGGAATTCCACTCCCTAGCTGCTCGCCATATAAATGTGGAAGCGAAAAGCGAAACATAGGGGTGGAACCCTTGCCCACGTCTAGTCTCCCGATGATGGAAAGGGGAAGGCGGAATCAAATTATGCAATTCCATTGCTCTCTCTCCGTGATATAACCTGTAGAATACCGATAAGCTGGCAACTCTACGGCGGCGTTCAAGGCTCTACAGCTTCGCTTCTACTAATTCCGCGTCACCTATAAGCCTCTTAGCACGCTTGTCGATTGAATCCAAGGTGGGCAGTTGGTATTTAGCAGAGCCATCCCATAAGTGGCAGCAGTACTCCATACACGACCGGACTTGTGCTTGGTACAGCTGAATCAACTGTCCTGGTGTGAAGTAACGCCTCACCTTAGAAAGGATGCCAAGCTTCTTGGCTGCATTTTTGGCCATGGCTTCAATGTATCTGTCGAAGTTCAGATTGGACGACAGGTCCGTTCCAAATAGATGAAGACGGTCGGCTATCGGTATGGATATATCACGAAAAGTCGGAGTCAGGTGAAAGGGACACCATTTAGTGCAGAAAAGACACGCCTGCATTTTGGTAGCATTCAATTTGACAAGATTAGCATCGCCCCAATCTGAGACTGCCTTAAGTATCAAATTCAAACGACTAACCATGGACTCTCGACAAGACTGGATTTCTTCCCCACTGACCCTTGCATTGGTCAAGTACCTGTCCACAACTGTGCTGTCATCAGCATACCCAAAGGTACCTGGAATCAACATGTCGTTTATATACAGCACAAAGAGGGTTGCGCACAGTACAGAACCCTGAGGAACTCCGGTTCTATCGGCCGATGTTCGGAAGAGTAAGTAGCCTTTTAAGACCACTGGAATCGAATGTTCACTTAAGAAATCCGAAATCCAATTGCAAGGGTCAGTGGGAAGCCCATAAGAGGGAAGCTTGCTTAAAAGCCTTGCATGCCAGACCCTGTCAAAGGCCTTAGAAATATCTAAAGACACTGCAATGGCTTCGCCATGCCCTTCTATAGCCTCGTTCCATAAGTGAGAGGCGTACACAAGAAGATCCCCAGTTCTTTCTGCATTGTGTCAAATAATATTGGAAATGACATAAAACCGAACATTTTAATTACACCTATTTCACTGCTCATCGCAACGAAAAGTAGTCTTAAACATTTTAAATGTATGAAAACAAAAATGTCTTAAAATATCTCATTACTGTCAAGCTGTGTAGCTGTAGAGTTAAAACTTAGATATTGTTACTAGGTAGATAGTGGTCCGCGCGTCCCGTTCCAAAAGATATAGTTTAGTGAAAAATGTAATATTAAACAAGTTTAATCCACTAAGTTGATGTTTTTTTTTATAATTATAATAATAATAACATATATGTTAGCTTAAGTTGTAATATTCTTAGATAATAAAAAAAATACATTTTTTAAACCAATAATTCTTAATTTTTTCAATTCCTATGTAAGGGACGGTCTCAATTTCGACCAGTGGGCGCCGCGGCCTTGGCGCGACGCGTAAAGCAACGCGCCGCGGTGCGGTGCAAGCTCGTGCGGGCGCGGCGCCTGGAAGAACATTCTATATAGATAAAATCTCGACTTGTTTGTTCAACTTTCATCACAAGACAATGCTTGGACAAACGGAATGCTGTTCTGTTTAAATTTTTTTGACATTCAGCAAGTGTTTGATGATGATTTTTGATGTCCTATAAATCCAAGTTAATTCATTTTATCACCTACGCTACTCCTAATATGAGAATATAAAAAGTAATTGCTTCATTATGAATTATCACGTAAGTAAAAAGTACCTGTTGGTCCCATCACCATGAAGATAATGGTGCAAGATCTTATGTTTATTGTCATGTATTGTCTCATCATCCAGTACTAAATTAAATATTGCAGAATCTATCTTTTGTAGAACATCTCCATTGCCAGATTCCTGTAAATGTATGCGTTGTGTTGCCCATTCATCTCGATTTTGACAAGTGAGTACACCAAGAGGGTATTCTGCTTTTGGTGTATTGTCATTTAAGATGCTACTTAAATTGCCTAAGATTTCTGTAGGAGTTAACAAGTTTCCTGAAATAAAATTGATTGGATTCATTTAAGCACGTAACAAAAGTCAAGAGTCCATGCACACGGCGTATTTTAAAGGAGACGACGACGCGCGTATTCGCGCTGTAAGCGCTTACTCATTGAAGTGCTGCGCTGTAATTTAAATTACTCCTATAAATAGCAGAAAATAAGGAACCAAAGAAAATTCATACCATCAGCATCCAGAACATCAAAAATGTAAAAATTGCCATTCCTCTGGACCAGCACATGTTTGCTATTAGGATCTCTGTATATTCTATCTTTAGCGATTTGTGGAATGCGTGTAGCACCAAATAGGCCAACAAACTGGCTCATGTCTAGAGGAAATGCTTTGAATAAATATGCACCATACCTGAAATATTTCATTTAAACACATTTACATATTTCTTTACAATCATATCCAATTGTTTGTCTGTAATATAACACACAGTAAATGCCTCCGATATGATGTTATAACGCATGCATGCTGTTGCCTGTTATTGTGTTTACACTCAAGTAATTTCTGCAGAGCTATTTTATAACCATGTTTAATAGTGTATTTCTGTTGGCGAATCTAATAAATAAATAAAGATAAATTTAATACAACATTTAAAAAAAAACAAATCTAAAAATTATTATTAAAATTAAACAAAATTTACCTACCTGTTTGTTGAGTTTGAGTAATTTTCTTTTTACCAATTTGGCTTTGTACATACAAATACTTACAAGAATTTTTGTTGATTGTAAAAAAAAACATGTATGCAATATCTTTAAAAAACAACCTCAAAAGTTTGTGGAATTACATCTATTTGCCAATATTTATTGAAATCTGTTAACAGAAAGTGGAAAAGTGGAAGTGGAAAGTGGGTGGAATTCTATAAACCAGATTCGACCCCTAATTTGCCACCTTTAGAGGTGGAGATTTTCTTCAAATTTGAATGGGATCATTACTGAGGTGACCCCCTTTCCAACAAATTGTATAGCATACATAAAAGAAAAGAAATTACGGGCGAATTGAGAACTTTCTCCTTTTTTTGAAGTTGATTAGAAATTATTTTTTTTTAAATCTTGAGAGTTTGCTTAGTTTGTTTTGATAAGAAAAGGATGTCTAATTTGATAGCAGAAACATAAAATATATATACAACCAACCATGATATGGCCTCAGGGAGCATCCCTGTAACACTTCGAAAAAGTCGTGTGTTACTTTTCTTTGGATTTAAATGAAATACTTCTGGCTCCAAAAGTTCGCTTCTCAGGGATAACATAAATCTCACAGCACTTATCAATAAGTTTGTAGATCTCACAAGCTGATTATTGTACTCTGGCCTCACATCATTTTGAAATACAATCAAGGGATTATAGTTAACAGGAAGGGCTAAGCGATCCCGCAAATAGAGATCAAACCAATATTCAGAAATGTAACTAGTGTGTTTATTGACTTTATCCTTTGCAATCAGTTTCTTTTGGAGGCTTTTGCCCTCTTTTACTAGAAATTCGTTTGTTCTGCGTTCTGCTTCGCTATACTGATCGCTAGTCAACAAAGGCTTTAAAGCATTCAAATACCGTTCCCCGGATTTAGATAATTCCGGGATAGGTAACCGAGGCAATGATTTCTGGAAATGCATAGTCGGTATCTTACTTCTTTGCAAATATTGATAATCCACATCCCGGATGTTTTTCACTTTGGTTGCAAAGTTTCTACTTTGTGCAAATTTTTTTAATGCAACACTATAGTTATGGATAATTTTATTGACTGTAATCATTTTGTAGTCTTAAATAACTTTGTTACCACTGATGGTTAGTCTATCCCATCCACACCAAAACTAATGAACACAACTAAAATGAAATAAACTCGCCGATGAACCCCTGATTTTTTTTTTAAATTTATTAAGGCTTTGGCAAAGCCATCAGCCTAAACATGAAGTTGGTTTCTGTAAATATGGCCGCCACAAAGAGTATGGCAATTTGAGGCTGCGTGTTTGGATTGACTCGGGATACCTTAAAACGGGCCGATACGGATATTCTAGTTCGAGATTCATATAATTTCGCGTTTTAATCTTCGACTAAGGCACAATAGCACTATCCTATTCCACTTTAAACTAGATTTCACAAAATAATTAAAAGTCAAAATAAACACGACACTTTTCCCTCCAAAAGGTCCAGAGTGAACCATTGTGACGATTTCAAGTGTAATAATGCTTACCTATGAAATAAAGATTATTTTGATTTGATTTGATTTGATTTGAACCACAGAACAATAAACACTAGGTATGGGGCATGGGCGCTACAAATCGTATATAGTTATTGAAACTATATATTGTGGCAATATCGAAAATCCGATATCGTAAACTTTATTAAATGTGAAAATCGTAAGTTCTTGAGCGCACAAAATGCGAGAAAAGTATATTTTGTTAATTTAAAAAATATATTTATATAAAATTAACCGTACTAAATTAGCATTCTTTTTACCTTCAAAATATACTACACTAATGTACCAATCGAATAAAGAAAAAGTAAACGTTTATCTCGGAAGATCTCGGAGATACCGCGTCTCTAAGGTTTTTTTAGATTTCTATGGAAATAGGGTTCTCATAAAATGTATAAATTTTTACCCGACTACGTGAATCAATGGAGGGGTGTGGTAAAACACCAACAACAACAATAATAATATATTTATTTCAAATATGAATAGACTTGTACGTAGTAGTAGATATAAAGATGCGAACTTATTTTAGTGTTAGTAAATATAAAATTTTATTCATACATGTGAGAATTTTTTGACCTTTGGTAGCCCACAATAATTCAAATTCCTTTATGAGGTTCAGATAACATAGTCCATATGGTACATTAATTGAATTTTTACATTTTTAAGTTACGTTAGTTAAATTTAAACTCAAGTGAAATAAGTTAAATTGAAGTAATTATGCCAAAAATAATTGAAAACAATGTACGTTACATAGTATTGGCATATTTTCTTATAATATTTACGTATGTGCATTACATTGTGTGAATAATGATAAATTATTCTGGCAAATGCTGAAAGCTCATACATTTCCCTCATTATCGGATTGCAGAATGATTTCGTCTGTTGCTAACGTGATATCTAATTTAACTGCCTCTGTGGCCGAACGGTTACCATACCGGGCTGCCACGCAGAGGTCCCCGGGTTCGATTCCCGGGCCGGGAGAAATATTTGTATTGCCTACATTTATTTCTCTCGTGAGTTTGGGTGTAATTTGTGGTTGTCTATGTGTGTGTCCATGGCACCCGCGACACAGGGTTTCCCTAGTGCGAGGCTATGTTGAGTGTGTGCGTTATTATTATTATTATATCAGCCGCTTCAATACTAATGTCCTCTGATGGGTAATGATGGTAACGAACATTTTCCGTGGTCACTTTTAGAAGGCGAAGAACTTTATCAGGTATAGGTATAGATTTTTTATGTTTGTGACGTGTACTAAGTGTCAAAGAGGATAAATAAGGATCAGACGATTCCAGTGCACGGTGAAACAAGTCTGTGTTGATTGTTTTCCGAATCAACTTTTGTGTATGGTGCTCTCGATCATAACGTCAAAACTTGTTCCCTGATTCACCGCCTAAGAATATAAAATATTGCACTTTGCAGACTGGATAAATACTCAGTGACAACCCTAACCCAAAATTTAAAAATTCAATTGGTCTCTTTTGGATAGTTTTGGCGTTGTCGCATGCGGATATTTTATGGTAGTACTTATTACTGTAATTAACAAATCCGCGTTGAAAAAACATCCTAATATGTACAGTCTTCAGAAAAAATGGGTTAAACTACAGAAAAAAATTGATTGTGCTCTAGGATAGCTTGATATTTTTTATTTTTGAACTCATTGGCGCTTTTAGTAGTTTTCTATCGTAACATGAAATATGTAATGAAAAATCATTTATAGGAAAGGAGATAATCTGATTTTATGGTCTCTATGGATTTTTCTCGATTTTTTTACATTTCTCTAAAGCCATTGTAGACGTAGCTAAGAGAGTTTAATTGAGTTGTAGGTGCAATATGTATCCAATGTTTTCCGACCTTTGATCAAGGGTCATATACGGCTCACCCCAGAAATAGGAAAGCACTCAGGTTTCACGCCCAAATTGAGAGTAAAAAATATTTACTATTAAATACTTGCTAAGTTATGTACAAATTTTACGATATTGTTATAAAATGCTTCTACTTACCTAATTTCCTTATTCATATTCATTTCAAAACACCACAAATCACGTCTATTTCGAAGTTGTACTCTACTGTTTTAAATCAGATCAGATCTACAAGTTTTTGGTTTACTACTACACTGTTTACTACTACTGGTCTACAAGTTTTTCCGACAAATAGCCTCTGTAACATATTGTGCCACTTTAGAATCGGAGGGTCACTTCCGCTGTATCACCCGTCCTCTCGATGAAAATAAAATGAAGAAGTGAGTAAAGTATGATATGAATATATAATATTGCGCTTTGCAGACAGAATAAATGCTCAGTGACAACCCTAACACAAAATTAAAAAATTCAATATTTCTGAACTCTTCTGTGGTCCAGGAAAGCTTGATATTGTTTTATTTTTTGGATTTATTGCTGCTTTTAGTAGTTTCTTATCATATCATGAAATGAAAATTCGTTTACAGGAAAGGAAATAATCTGATTTTATGGTTTTTATGGATTTTTCTCGAATGTTTAAGTTTCTCTAAAACTATAATCGATACAGCCTGGAGAGTTTTATTAGGAACTTTGTTTGAATATTATCTTTCTAAAAAACACTTAAAACGAGGACGTCCGCAACTAAGGTAAAATAACACAGTGTTATTTAAGGTAAAATAACTCGGTGTGTTATTTTAAGGTAAAATAACTCAGTGTGTTATATTAAGGTAAAATAGTACTTTTTAATTTGTGATTGACACGACACGCTCCCCCTTAGACTATGGAAATAATGGACTACTCCCATTGACTTACAAATATGACTACTCCTTTTTTTTCCATCCTCTAAGCGCTCCCCCCGACAAGCAACTTTGTACAGAAAGCAAATTATATTTGTTATGCTCAATGACAGACAGTTGTTCCATTAACATTTTATTATAGTTATAGAACAAGCCGAAAAATTAAATTAAATAATGAATGAGTAAAACACAACTCTTCTGTACGAGAATGAAAATGAAGATACATTTTTTTGTAGTGCATATTGGTAATACTAGTGATCCTACAAGAACAGATGTTTCCGGGAGTCAAGACTGAAGAGAAGAAAAAAATGAGAGAAGAGAGAGAATGTCGTTTCGCTTTTATAAGTACGTTGCGTCTTTGATATAAAATTTTACTTATACCAAGAAATAGCTCGATATCTTGAAATAATTATTCTGTTTTTGTTATACTTTCAATGTCGAACTTATTCACGGCCGGTAATCTACCTATAGAGAACCGCTCGCAGTAGCGGCCATCTTTTTTAATGAATAATGACATATGTCATTTTTGTTTCCTTGCTGTGATTGGCTGCCGCAGGAGCAGTAGCCTTTCCGCCATCTTGGGTAGTGATCGTGGTATTTTACACCTTGTTATTGTTTTGTTAGTCACCTTGTAGTGGCTTGTAGTTTGTTTGTACAGGTTCAGATCGAGTGAAGACGTGACGTGCTTATCCTCTCCGTTAATTCTGTATTGTGTGTTTGTATTTTGCTTCATGCAAAATGTACGAGTGCTGTGTATGTAAAAGTTCACGACAGGACGCTATTTTACATCATTTTCTTCGCACTGAGAAAAGACTCATGAAGTGGTTAAAGTGTCTAAATCGTGATAATCTGAAAAAGTTATCACCAGAAGAACTTTCAAACGTTTTGTATGTCAAAAACACTTTGAAAAGAGGTTTATTACGACGCAATTACGTCTCATAGGCAGTGCATATCCATCTTTGTTTACCGAAGACAAGATTTCCTCTGGAATACCATCACAGGACAATGCCGGTAAGTTTTAAGTATAGACTTTACTATAGCTTTCTAATCTCTACCTCCTAACAGACTTTTAATATGAACTTAGCCCGTAGTCGCCTTGTAGAAATAAAATATTAATAACTATGACCGTCATCTAAGAAACAAATTGACGACGTTAGTGTATCCAGCGTTAATAACTTATAACAATTTAAGTACTTGCTTACTTTTAAAACTAAAGAAATAGTATTGAGTTTTGAATATAGTTAGTGTTTATACCCGGTTGTGTCCTAGTTCGAAGGAATAACTTTTAATGTTATTAATATTAATTGTTTTATTTATTTTGCACTTACAGAAAATATGGATATTGATATGGAGCATAGTTACTCGCGTAAAAGACACTTTGACCACACGTACTTTCAAAGGGAACCACTAAAAGGTTAGTAATGCAGTTTGTATTACTGTAACATTTTCTAGTAAAACTGTTTAAATGGATTTATTGAAAAAAAAATCCAAGGTTCTTCTTTTAAATGTTATGGCCCCATTGAAGTAATTAATGATTTTGCCAATGTCAAGTTGAGGAACGCACGCATTTTTACTCAAAAATTTACTGGTGAATTTCGATAGAGGTTGCTATTGATTTTAATTATTTACTACTCATTGACAGATTAATAAAATATTTTTCAGCTCACTATGCAGATGGCAGACCAGTCAGTAACACTTTACAAAACACTGCAGACACTGTTTTGTTCTTCGACAAATTGTTTGCCAGCGTCAATGGAGCTGCAATACAGTCAAAAAGAAAAGGAAAAATATTAAGAACAGCAGTAACGGAAAAATCACCTCATCACGAATTTTGGAGGGAATCAATAAAAAAATTGGAAGAAACCAAATATGTCGATGCGAAAGGACACGAAAAGTCCGTGCCGTCATTGAAAAACTTTGTCATAACTTTAAAAAGTTATATGAAGCTGAGGCAGTTTTTCCAAAGTAAAGGGATTACAATAATGAGGCCTAGATATTTTAACTCCGATCCAATAGAGAATTTTTTCGGTCAAGTTAGGACCTATAGTTATAGAGATAATGACCCAAACTGCCACAGCTTTAACTGCACCTTTAAATCATTACTAATAACTAGGATTATTAAATTCCATAATGAAACTTTTAATTGTGAGGATGATCCGGCGGACCAAGTGTTCAATTTACAATCATTATTTGAAGAACAAAAAGAAAATATTCAACCTGATCATCTTATTCATTCATAGGACTGAAAGCGTTGAAACTATAACGTCTCAATGTTCACTCTCGGGCCTACACTGCTGGATGGGTAGTAAGGAAAATTTTAAATAAATTAAAAATAAACTGTGACTTATGCCTAAAAATTTAACAAGTAATCAAACGCGTATTCACGACTGGGTAAGTCACAGGGAGTATACAACGTTAAAAAACCGACTGAAATACCCATCCGAAGGAGCAGTAACGTGTTTCGGTACAGTAATCAGAGAAACAAATGAATACTTGGAAAGCAACGCACATAAAGCGAATATTGCATATTATAATATTACAGCGAATATTTTGTCCAAGTATTCATTTGATTTCATAAACTGTGCCGAACATAAAACTATTCTACTTAATAGTTTTATTGCTTTCACTGTTCGATTTACAATTATGAATTGGTGCAGTACCACAAATAAAATTTTAAAAGGCACGGACATAGGTTAGCAAACCGCATTCTACCTCCAATGCAAAACAAAGCATTAGAAAAATTTAAAAAGAAATTAAAAAATAAACGCCTTAACAAATATTGAGTTGTTTTATTTATTTTATTTTATCGTATTATTTTATATAAATGAACTGGAATCCGTAAGCACCTAAATTTGTTTGGATGTATATGTTCTGCTCCTTTGCAAGACAATATCGTCTACCTATTAAAAAAAATGAAATGTCAGTCGACATTAGTATCACAGATTAAAAATAATTCTTACTACTGAAAAAAAGTACTATAATGAGCAGTCTGAACGTAGTTTACTGTGAACTTATTCATACAAATGCAAATTCCTTTACGCCATAGACAAGACTATATTTTTTTCATGGACGTAAAAATAAATAATACACACATTTGTACAGACAACTAGGCTGTCGGGGAGTCGTTTTTGTGCTAAGACGGCTTTAATATTTGAATATAGTTTTCATTTATTCATTACCAAACTTGTATGTTAATAATAGGGGTTTAAATATGAAATTGCCGATTTATTTTACTGGCCACTTTAAATTAAAATTAAACCTGTATGGTGTCCGATTTCAGAGTGAAACGTTTTTCACACGAAAAGTAAAACATGCTTAACTTAAAAAACATGATATTTGATTGTTCGACTTTCAATTGTTTTTACATTCAGCTTTTAACGTGAAGACAGATACAGCGAAAATCTGAGTACCTAATTTTCGAATACGAATTTCCACATGGAGTTAACGTAGCAGAAACTGTCAATGCTGTATTTGGAGAGGATACGGCATACGCAAATACGGCAAACGCCGGCAATACGGCAAATTACGACTTGAAGAAAGAACCACGAGGAAGACCAGTCACAAATGTAAATAACGTTGAATTGAAGGTAATGATGGAAGCCGATCCGTATCAAACTACCACGAAACGTCATGGTTTAATGTTAGCATACCCACAATATGACATATGGCGTTTGAATAATGACGACGGAACTCGCAGCAAAACAGCTTCACCGTTATTGCTCTATGATAACGCAACACCTCACACTGCTTGAGAAACAGTTTTACTACTACAAGACCTGCAGATATAAATTATCCATCATCCTACATATTCGTCGGACCTCGCCCCGACCGACTACCATTTTTTCCCGCAATTTGATTTTTTTTTGTATGGAAATAAAATTCCCAGGAAGTAGTACAAAAATCCCTTCACACAGCTGTGGAGTCCAGGTCTCCAGAGTTCTATCGCAAAGGTTTAAATGACCTTCCGATTACATGGCAGAAATGTATAGACAACAAGGGAAAAAACTTTGATTAAACAAATATATTTAATCTTAAAAAAAATTGTTTTAATTTTTCAGTGCGAAACGGCAATTTCATACTTTAACCCCTAATATATAACATCATTTTACGTTACTATTTATAATGTTTGTGAATTGTGCTGTTTACTGCTGTTTATCATCATCTAAAAGGGATAAAGAGAGAAGTTTCTTTCGATTTCCGAAAGATGAAACGAAATAAGTAAAAAAAAAAACTTGTCTGAGAGTCATTCAGTTACTGTTTTCTTCATTTATTTAGTGCAGAGTAATATATAATACAGATTTATTACCTATATCAATAATAAAATGCCAAGATAAAATGACAAGGGTTCTCGAATTTTCAATTTGATTTACCCATAAATATTACGTAGTAACTATACTTAATTATTATTAATAATAATAATAAATTTGGACACGCAATTTCAAATACCTTGGTTACGTTATTTAAAAGTACCTGTCCAAAATACAATTTATTACATAAAAAAAATGTTTTTTAAATAAATCTTCAATATTATTCTAGTTAGTGAATTAATGAGAAATTCGCGTTAGAAGTGTTGCCGCTCTGACCACGTAACGTACGAGAAAGTGATGGGTTACCCCGCCACTTCACATTTGCGCATGTGCGGATAGCGCTTTGCTGTATGTAGTAGTAGTAGTTAAATAACTTTCGACTGTTGTATGGAGTATCTGGGGTGTGACAAAAAGTAGCTCAAGTTGACTCGTTGTGGGACTAACTCGAGATTATATAACTCGATTCGCCCATCGCTCGCGACTCGACCGAACCGAGTTCGCTCGACTTCACAATAAGTAGCTCGATTTGACGCGTTGCGTTGTGGGAGTAACTCGAGTTAGAGATGGGCGTTGAATGGACGAACTAGTCGAATCAACCGTTCACGTCCAATCGACGTTTCTACGGGTCTACCGTTCTTCGGTTCACTAGTAGAATTCGTAGACGGCTAAACGGAGAGTCCACGCGTTAATCAACGCTCTGCGTCACGAGACGACGAAGTGTAAGTTGATATTTGAATATGTGCGACGAAGTAAGATAGGTCTGTTATGCTATTTATTATTGCAATAGTGCATTCAATAGGTATAGAAAAACTATGACGGTGTAGTTAATTCGCTAGGGCGAGAGAGAGGCGTTGCGCCCGTTGTGGCGCAATGCCCTTGAAGCTATCGGAATTAAACTCTATTGCAGTATGTTAAAAGCGTCGATAGCCGCGCTCATGTTAAACATTGGAAATAAATTAATTTCTAAAACAATAGTTCATATTCTCAAAAGTTACTTTAGTTGATTCAGTTAAACTCGTCTCACGAACGAAAACCAACTTAAGTTGAATGATCGACTAGTCGACGAATTTAACTAGTTGACCGACTAGTTGATCGTCGACGATGGACGGTTGCGTTTCGAACGGAAAACGCGTCGACGACCCATCTCTAACTCGAGTTAAATAACTCGACTCGCCCATCGCCATCCATAGTGCATGCATTCCGCTGACAAGGTAGGAAAAAACTGTCAAAATCGTAAAAAATTCAAACAGTCCAAAAATAGCGAGATTCTTGCTATTTTTGGACCGTTTGCAATACATTTTTATTCATTCGTACTTCGCTAAATATGCGTATTGTATATAGGCAAGACCGCATGCGCATTGTATTCTGATTCTGCTGTTTTCTCTGAAACAGCCCCTTTCAATGGCAATTAGAGTTCGTATCAATTAATATCGGTCTGTGATTCGTTGGTCCTTTCCTTCGAGTTCAAAATGAATGATTTACCAGAAAATAATAGTAATGTGGGACCTTCTGAGTTGGAAACCTTGGATTACCTTCACGGTGTGAAGTCTTCAACATGCTTGCTGTTGCCGACAACCCCCAGCCCCACACCTTTGGATTTTAAGCATCCCCTATCGGAAGAAATTGCTGAAGCACCATTTCTTTCTCTGAATAATGAACCTAACATGGGTAATATGCAGAACTCAGGTAAGAACCTATATTTATATTTTTCTATAATTTTTAAGCTTGATTGTTATTTTGATTTTTTCATGATTAGAGTAGAGTCATAGCGTCAATAGCGTCTTTGCCTTTAGCTAATAAAGTTATTGCATAAAGTATTTAATTTTAATAATGTGTTACAATAAAATATTGTATTTATCGTGTTCTTAGGTTTTCGCGATTGTTACACATAGAATGGCCCGAAACGTCGGTTTGTTTGAAAAAACAAATATACGCGATTTAAATCCGGAAAAATAGTTTCATTCCCTAAATATTGTATTATTATTTGATTTGGCCAACATGTCTTTTTTATATTAGAAAATTTTTGTTATAGTATTGAACTGTTGCTAGCTGAGGACACATTAACGTTAGTTATTGAATTAAAACCACTTTATTTTATTATGTTCATAAATTATTGCAGATGCATCAGCTGGTGATTCTAGTTCCTCTGGTGATTCAAGCTCAGTTGTACAAGATCCTGTCAGTGCTCAGTTGATAAATAATATTAGCATGCTGGACTATCAGACTCTTAGCAAGAATGGAGATCACATTATGGGAGAAGTAAGTTCATTACATTTACATATCGTCAGGGATAGTGCAATTATGCGTAACTAGGATTTGATTGTGAGTCTCCATTTCAGTAATTTAGTGGCCAGATCAAATCCGCGTAAATGTCATGGCAACCAAATTAGTGTGATTTACGGGAATGTATTGTTGTACTTACTGTGCAAAAATGAAAGACTTAGCTATTGAAATAACAAAGTAATAATGTGAAATCTCGCCTCTGTGAAATTTAGTTTGGTGCAGATATGCGCATTTTACATGGATGTACACTATCCCTGATGATGTTCTAATTTTAAATAAGTAAAAAGAAGTATCAAATGCTAAATGCTTAAATTGCTTTGGTAAAATGTTTTTTTTTATTGAGCACATTTATCATAGTGTCTACCTAACTATAATTTTATTATTGTTCTTTTTTTAATCAACCAATTGAAATGTTTATTTCAGGCTGAAGATTGCAAGCTAAATGGAAACCTTAATTTTCCTAATAGAAAACTTCCAGCTTTTGTCACTTGGAATTGGCCACTGATTAGAAAAATACTTCTTTGGATAGTCCTGTCTGGCTTGGTGGCTTGTTTGGGGGCTATTATTGCCATGATTGTCACTATTCCTAAAGAATGTAATCCGAACTTACCTTGGCACCAAGGAAAAGTGTTTTACGAAATATTTCCTGCTAGTTTTCGAGATTCTAACCATGATGGAACAGGAGATCTCAAAGGAATTATTAAGAAATTAGATTATATACATGAATTAGGAGCTTCTGCTATTCGTTTGAATTCCATTTTTGAAGCAAACAACTACCCAGAACAATATTACAATGTCACAAATTTAATGAGCATAGCTAAAGACATTGGGAATATTGAAGATTTTGAAAAATTAGTGAAAGCAGTAAAATCTAAAAATATGTCTCTGGTACTTGATATACCTGTATTGTCATTGGCGAATCTTGTTTCTGTTATCGATACAAATTACACAGTTTTATTTTCAAATGATGTTAGTGCAAAATACACTGACCAAACCTCAACAGCTTTAGCTTTCTGGTCACAGGTTCATAATGTTAATGGCTTTTACTTAAAAAATCTAGAAGAATTTGTTGATAATATCAACTTTGGCAGATCTCTACAACTTTGGAAGCAAATTATTGGGAATGGTAAAATATTAATTGTCAGTGAAGAATCATACAAAAAAGCTGTAGGCAAAAATCTTGATGTTTTACTTTCCCAAGTAGATCTCATTGATATTCACCTGAACTTGGAAAATGGCATAAATGGTTTAAAAGAACGTATTGACGAAGTTATAACTGGCACTCTTTGGAGTAAACCTCATTACCCCTGGGTGCATTGGAACATAGGCAACATCAACAGTGAAAGAATTTCAACAAAACATACAAATAACACCTTGGCATTAAGCGCATTGGAATTCATTTTACCTGGAACAGCCAGTATATTTTATGGAGATGAAATAGGGCTAGGAGGTCTACCTGTTCATGATGTGGAAGAAGATTTCCACGAGCATGAGCATATACACAACTTGGTACCTATGATGTTTTCTGGAAATGATAACAATGGAAACAAACTAATTTTGCCTTGGAATTCAAAATCTGTCCTGGAGCCAAAATATCACTTCCTGGAGGTTATGAGGCGATTTACTGAAGTGAGATTGAATACGCCAACGATTTATTTACGAGCCATCTTTAAGGATGGTAACATTTTGAAAAATACGGAGATTCGTAAAACTGAAGAGAATTTGGTAGTGATTGAGCGTTGGTACCCTCGCAGGAACACTTGTGTATTTGTGGGAAATCTTGGTAGCAAATCCATTACTACAGATTTGTCGTCAATGTTCTACGGCGGTACTGTGGTTGCAGGAACTAACTCTTCTCTCGTTGGGCAAGTACTCTACTTCGATCAGGTAACTTTTCCTCCTAATTCTGCTATAATATTAAAGCTAGAGAAGTAGGTAAATTTCCAAATACTAAACTGAATCAAATCATAAGACTATTGTATACCTACAAAGAAGGTATGGTATATTGTGAGTTACTTATGTCAGCCAAACTGTAAACGAGGTATCATCTTTGATGTTATTAGTGTTATCAAATATAGTAGGAATTTAATTATAAACAAGTTGTCTTCTAAATTCTTAAGCACCAACAACAGTGTGTTTTCTATTTCGTGATAAATAATATGTAGTTCGTATTCAATTTGAATCTTTCAGTATTTTGTGAGCCATAGTTCTAAGAACACTTCTAGTCTTCTATACCTACTTAGTCCCACATTTTCATAAGTAAATTAGTACCTATATTTAGTTTTAAATAAGTGTATAGTTTTTATCTTATTATGTGTATACACATACATGTGTGTGTTTGTGTATGTATACATATATATATTGTTGTATGCCTATTATTACTACCAAAGAGTGATTAAAATTGAATCTCGGATAAATTAAAATACTGTGTTATACATTCACGAAATTTTAATATACATTTGTACATATTACAACAATTATTATGTACTTAGTATATTATATTATTATGTACAATTTATGATGCAATCCAAAATAAATATTTCAAGAATTTACAATCTCATTATTTCATGAAGACTATTAAATTACGCCGTTATGCTGGGAAGAACAATTATTTCTTTGAAATAAATGCAGTTGAATATTTCTTTTATATGTTTTATCGAAACTATGTAAAAATATGCATTTTACATAGGTAAGCAGTTAAGTTGCGTATTTCTGTAGTAAGTAATTTTCTGTAAAAAATCCAGATATTTAATTGGTTTTCACAGTATAACGACTATATGACGACCAATATTATCTACAGAGTAATATCAAGACTCCAGGAATATTGCCAATGGTGATAATTTTACAAAAAAAAAACAATTATTTTCCAATTTTATTACGTTTTATCCACTACCTAATTTATAGCAGATCTTTCAGTTCACTCAATTTGTGATATACGTATGTCATGATATTTTATGAGTAATAAATAAGTGACGTAACGTAGATATTTATTTATAGTTACATTATGGATATTTTTTATTAGGAATCTACGAAACAATTTATCAGTAAAGTACATATTAGAACATAATCGTAAGAATATCTAATCTACGGAATGTGATTGTATGTATTAAATCGAGAAGAATAACAACAACTAATACAATAGGAAATGCAGACTTACTATAACAATCGAGGGCTTTAAGCTCAGTCTTTATTATGGCTAAATCGGTGGATGAAAGCTAATAGCACTGGAAGGATTCACAAATGATTCACAGTACAGTGTCTGTCATGAATTGGGTTGGATCTTTTTAGTTTTAGCTACACTTGGATGTATTACATAGGTGTTAGACATTGCTCTTGGAGTATGAGTTGCGGTACCCGGCAGTGCTGGAAGCTTATCAGTTGGGTTTCGCATTAAAATTTTTTTTTGAGACCCTGTTATATCCCTTTTAATATTACTTTCCTGTTTAATCTTAAGATCTATACTATCGGTGGTACTTTGGACAGACTTTGCACACTTTCGTTCACTTTCACAGTCACTAAACGTTTGTTTGCTCAACTTCGGCATACCGAAAGCTTTTGTTTGTTTTAGTAACGATCGATCATTACATAGTGCAGCTATAAGGGGCAAATCCAAATTTTTGCTTTTCTCTCTAAGAGTTTTTATATCTAAATCACAATTTGCGTCTTTCACTTTATTCACAACATTTGCATCATTATACACACAGTTTGAAGCTTTCAGTTCCTGAAGGTGAGATGGTAGTTTCTTCTTATGTTCGTAGGGTGGCGGCGGAGGTGGAGGCATTCTTCTCATTTTCACTGGTGGAGGATCCTTAGCGTTCAGTACGTTTTCGTGTGATCTAGCTCTTGTGAAACTTGAGATTTCTGACAATCGCGTAGGTATTGGAGGTCGTTCAAGGTTTGTAGAGTGGTTGCTGAGAGAGGTTCTGCTTGTTAACGAGTACCAACTAGTACGCGTACCAGGCAATTGAACGTATGAATCTGAAAGATTTTGAATTGACCCATACATCGAAGATGCTGATAGTGATGTAGATAGGTATGGCGTACTTCTGTATTGCAAGCTATTTTTGTGCATATTTGACACCCGTGATTCTGTTAACTTGTGATCAAGATAGTTTTGTTGTGAAATAGCTGGATCTTGTATGGGATAATAAACGTAGTCCACATCGCTATAGAGTTGTTGATGGAACATCGAATTATGTGGAGGTGGCGGTGGAGGCAACCGCGAAACAGGTGGTGGTGGTGGTAATCGCGTACGTCTGGGTGGTGGTGGTGGTGGAGGTAATTTCATCATTGCTACTAACACGTTTGCGTTTACTCCGTGATGTGTTGGTGGCAATTCTCTCGAGGGCGAAAGGCTACATATCCCTTGAGCCAATTTTGATCTTTCGGCTCTTCTACTAGACGCTTGGTGGCGTTTAGATTTTTGAAACCGATGTTCTAATACCATTGGACTAGCGAATGTTCTTTCACTTGAGGCATTAACCTCACCTGCTTCTGCTTTTAGAATTGTAATCATAGGTCTTGACGTTACTACTCTAGCAGCTACTTCTTCTTTGTCTCCCTGTTGCTTTAAAGGTAAAGACGATACTGCTGTTCCAGGATACGCCGGTGGTGCTTTAGTTGGGGTGGATAGTTGTGCCGAAAGCGTTTTATGATTATATTCATAAGGTGGTGGGGGTTTGTCATGAAACTTTGGCATTACAGATGTATTCTCATCAATATTAAGTATGTTCGGAAGAGACAGATTAAGCATTTTACGACTGTCTGTTCTGGTTGGTGGCGTTGGTGGACGATCAAAGAAAGAGTTGTCAGGATAATTGTCATCGGAAGGAGCTGTATCTTCGTAGCCTTGAAGATAACTGTCGCCTGAAAACGGTAAAGGTAGTCTAACATAATCCGACACAGAGTCTAGCGTGTCACTTACTGATTGACTTTTGGGATACACGCCGCGGCCGACGATTAAATCAGTTAATTCACTTGCACTCAGCAAATTTCGCGTATTGTCTGTAGGATCACTGCCATCACCGTGAAAAGAAACAGTGCTAACATTTGAATTGGTTCTTTCTCGGAACATATTCTCTTTCGCATGTTCTTCCTTTGGAAAATTAGTTGCTCCATCTACACAATCGGTACTAGGCCTAGATGTTTGTATTCTTAGCGTTCCAGTGCACTGACTAGTTCTCTCAGACTTATTTTTTAATATTGAAGATACACTATCAATTTCGGCAAGGTCATTTTCTGGAGATGGCTTATAACTGTCGTAATGTGACCCATTGTAATCAGTTCTACTACCATCAGACAGTGCATCGATTTTTGATCTTGCAGTCAGTTCCGAACTACCCATTGTGTATACGCCACTGGTTTCGCTAGAAGCAGCTATAGTCATAGGCTGACCTAGACCATCATATAATGCTGAGGCTGTGTCTTGAGAATACTCAATGTTAGTTCCAACCGTACTATTATCACTCAACATGGAATTTTGTGTGGTATGACTGAAGCCCAATTCCAGACTACTAGCATCGGACGCTCGACTCAATGTGTTTAGACCTGCTCGAGCCATAATAACTGTACTACACGATGATGAACATTGCGATCCAGTACATTTTAATTTATTTGGTCCTGGACTATCTGTAGAGATTTCAGTAATACTTTGATCGGGTAAAGAAATTGTTTCTTCTATTTGCATTCTTGAACTTTGTCCGATTTCAGTAGAGATATCGTTTTTAACAATAGTGTCAATTTCATCCAAATTCTTTTTGTTTCGTAATTTTGCTTTTTGCAACTGTAGCGATGAGGTTTTGGCGAAAGGTTTATTGTCATCAGGAGTATGCTGAATAAAATAAGCATTTGTGCAATCTAATAAATGAGCGAAAGCCAAACTTTCAGTAGACGGTGCCGGAGGTGAATCAATCATTATTTCCAATTCATCCTCAGATTGTACTCTGTCACTAACAATACCGGACGTAGTATTTGAACTTGTAGACGAAATGACTGATATTCTTTGTTCACTTTTATTTTGGATGTACTGCAGGTTAAGTGATTTTGGATAACCGTAACAAATTTTTCTTTCTTCTTCTTCTTTACTTAATATCTCCTTAAACTTAGGTGCGATCTTCATAGAGAACTGATGTGTTTCTTTGCATAGAGCGAAAAGATATTTACACTTTTCTTCACTTGACGAATATAAAGTGATTTTTCCATCTTCAGTCCGTATTTCAAACTTTTTCCGATCGAAACTTAATTTTCCGATGGAGGTCCATATGAAATTGGAAACAGGTCCATTATCAGGTAAGATTTTAATGCCTTTAGCTGTGACAAACAGCCAGATCGTCCCTGGATCCGGTTCCGATTTGTTTTGTTTCAAGCGATATCTATGAGAATTCATTGTATCAGGTAGAAGGCACACCTCACGTATAAACCTACTTTCTGCGTCGATTCGGGAGAGTCCACGATGTTCACGGTGACATGCTCGCATTGCAGCGGCCACCCAGTCACCTGTGAGCGACGTTGGAGCATAATCTTCCACTTTAAAGTAGTCCCGGTCTGCGTATCCGTCAGCGTCTCCATATTGCGCCTGCAATGCCAGCCCAGTTAACAGAAGAAGTACCTCAGCGGGTAATGTGTCTCTGCATCGGACATTATGACGTAATTGTAGGAAATAGAGATGGCGACCAACTTCATCGTGTAAAAGTAAGGGGCTCTCAACATGAAACTGAACCACGAGGTGCAATTCAAGGAGAGGCTTCCCGTTTGCGTCTAAGCCCTGAAACAGATGATTAAAGTTTGTTTAGTGTTTTTACAGTGTAGCATAAAATCAAACTATGTTATCAAAGTAGGTTCAACTTACATGAGTGTGGGATGACCTCCAGCTCTTTGGCGCATATTTGGAGAGTTTGCTTTCTAAGTCAACAAACAAGTACTCTCCATCTGCAAGTAAAATAGTTTGTATGAAGTTTTGAAAATATTGTATCGAGTCTAATTATTTTTTTCTGGTTGAAATTGCGTATAATTGTTTTTTCAAACAAACCAACGTTTCGGGCTCTTTACAGATTCCATGTTCACGGTGACATCTGTTTTGTTTAAGTAATATTTTTTTAAATTTGGGGATTACTCGCTGTATTAAAGAGCACGCACGCATACCTATAGCAGTAAACTCACAAAGGACAGTTTACTCTTCACATGCTTCCGATAATGTAGATAGAATTAAGATGCACCTATGTACTGGCAGAACATTGATTAGTCAAGAAGTACATTTCGGTTGTATAGGCAGAATGTTTCTGAGTAGGAACGCGACGCCGGCGCCGCCATAAATACGAGTAGGTACTTCTTGGGTGTTTGGGGGAGTAAGTACGATCAGGCTGACATTTTAGTTTAATATTTTAATTATAATTATGTAATTTAAGTGTATTGTTATTTAAATTAACTGCTACTGTCAAACTTTGTTTAGAATTTTGCTGTATAGAATGAACTCCGACGAAAGTATGCATAGACTTTCTGATTTGAAATAGATATTGTAAGTTGTATGCAGAAATGCGTACAAAGCTAACTGAAATGGCAATAAATATGTCTCCTTAGAATGACTAAACTCTTAAAACATAAACATAAACTATGCATCACGGGGAAGCAATTAATTTTGATACTCACTTTGCATTACGGCTAATCCGAAGAGGTCTGTGTCGGTCATGCCTTGTAGTTGAGCATGAGCATTGGCCAAAGCCTTCAGTTCTTTGACCTTCGCCTTGGCTTCGACGACGAAATGAAGCGGTTGAGGCTGGCCGGGCATGCGAAGGGATAGGAGGCGTGCGCCCGCACCGAGCGCGCGCGTCTCTCCACCCAGCGGCCCGCGAACCGAACACAGAGCGCGCATGTCGCATCTCGAGACCACTGTTACGTGCCCTGTAATACAATTACCATATATTTTTTTAAGAATTATTTTTACCATGCTGTAATTTTAGTTACACGATGCCATAACAATGTAATTTTATCTGATGCGCTCTCACAATATCAAGTCTCAGTCAGTTATTTATTTATTTCAAATATTTATTTCACTTAAATCTATGTACATAGGTACATTATAATAAGTTTTTATTAAGGAAGCAAACTGAAACAATTTCTAGTTATTTTATAATTAACAGATACTCAGAAGTACAGTATTGTTTTTAAGTTAAAAGTATAAGGAAGATCGTTTTATTCTACTTGCACTTGCATCCGCTGTACCTCCGTGTGCTTTCCTATAGCAGCGGGTACAGGAATGTCCGGATCTGCACCATCTGTGCATTCCACAACCTTTTTTTCGTCAATCTTCTTTTTGCTACCTGCTGCTTTAGAGCACTACATTGTTCGATGTTTGCATGCCATGCCTGCGTTTTTTTTTTCATAACAAAAGCGATGCAATCACCTCCATTTAGTTTATTTTATAAAAACGAACGTATCCATTGATTCTATACGTGGTGTCATTAAAAAAGCACAAATTTATAGATAAATAAATAGAGGAGATCAAACCAACATCTTTGTTTAGTACTTAACATACCATTTTTTATAGGAAAATTGTAAAAGGAATGTACTCCCAGTTTTTTGTATGGGAAGACAATTTTTTTAATTTAAACGAGGAACTGTGTGCACTTATTGCTCACACCCGTTTGGCAATCAACACTTTCAACATCAATATCAGGCACCGTAGTTGTCAAAATAAGATTTTAATTTTAAAATTTGTATCTTGATTTAAAAAAAATATTCTTTTATGGTTCGACTTAAGCCCACTAGATGGTAGTTCAGGTGTTCATAAGTAGGAATAAATATGTACCTATTCAATACGATTGTTGGAATGTAGCACCACAAGATCAGGTTCAAAAAAACTAGACGCGAATAAATTTCATCCCATCCGGTACCTCTGCGGCTCCTCAGCTCTTGATAGCCATAAGAACATGTTTTTTGTTTTAGTAAATGCGCGATACTTTGTGACGGCGCGGTTAGGAGTAGGGGGCGGGGGCAGACCGGTCGACGCGGGCGCAACGGGGGCGGGGGGGAGAGGCGCGGGCGGGGGGGGCGGGGGGTAGAGGCGCGGGCGGGGGGCGCTACGTAAGCGCGGTAGCAGCGGACGGCGACGCGAGGAATGCGGACGACCTTCAGATGCCGAGCGCCCCTCCCCCTATGCCAGCCGCATATTGCGTCCTCGCATACCTATGGACGTCGCGTCGTCGTCGTCGTCGCCTCCACCGCTTTTGACACTCACAAATTGTCAGGATAACAATGGAAGGAATTTGAAAGACAGGCGGTTTGTACGTACGCGTATTTATGTTTTGACTTGGCTAAAATAAATCAGCATTAACACGTTATGCATTATCAGTTGGTAACTACAGAGAGTTGTATTAAATAGTTTCAGTTATCCCATCCCATAATGCAACATTTAATTTTGTAATTTTAGTCGGTTTTAGAAATATATTTCGTTATAAGTGACGTGTCTACTTACATTCGCTTTGTGTAAATTCATCAACTTTCTACTTATGAGCAAAACCACGCGGGAGTTCACTCACATCCACTAAAACTTTATTAACGGACGAAAGTTGCAAGCAATATGCTTTGATTTCACCGTGAGCAATAACCAAACAATTTGGCATCTCAATAAACGACAGTAGCCCGTACGTTCGTTCGCCGCGGATATTATACGGGTTTTTAGCGCATACCACACTATTGACGTCATTATGTAGCTTATAGAGCGTTGCGGTTTTTCTAAAAACATCTTTCAACTATCTCTATTTGATATTGATCATAAAAGTTGTTGTCACTAATAAAATATTTTTTTTTAGTTATGTTTTATAACGTCACCTACATGAACCTAGAAATTAATATGCTGAATCTAGACCGCCAGCATTACTACCTTTTTTTTTTTTTTTTTTTTTTTTTAAGGTATTCCAATTAAAACTATTTCAGACTAGCTGTTTCGTAACAAATGTCATGCATCATAGCGAACACTTCGAAGAACTTGTAATCTAAATTGATAAGCCCTATATAATTTTTCGCACACACTCAACATTTTATGTTCTTTAAAAAGATACGTCGTCGTGGATGCATTTGTTTTGGTAATTATTGAATAGAAAATTTATCTTCCACAAATACATAATCATATATATATATATATATTATATTATATTATATATATCGTCCATCGTATTATTTATCTACTTGTTCAGTGTGCTATCGACGGAATGCGGTCGTGGTCGTTGCTGTTTATTGAGCTAATGAATCATTTATTTTATCAATATTAACACTTAGGGTAACTGAGATGTTCTACATATTTAGTAAAATGTTTTTTTGCGTATTACGTTTGTTTGCGGATTTCTAGTCATTCCACAACTCTACAAAGTTTATAATTTCACAAGAAACATAATGTCTTTCGTCAGATCCGGAATGCGCACTATTTAGACACCCAAAATAATTAATCTAATATTTTAGATGCAGCTACATGGTAAAAACACATTACTTAGAAAAAGACAAAATTATTTTTATGAAGACAAATTTATTAAATCCAACAAAACGATCCTCTCCTTATAGACGCTAGAGAATAATTACTTGATAATAGTAAAAAACGTCTCAAAAGTGTATTTTAGTTATAAGACAGAAATATTTAATTTAAGAGCAAATTAATTTACTTCAAGTCACAAAGCTACTCTAGATTCAACAAAATATTTATTAGTTATTAGAAATGTCCGATTTTGACTTGAAAAAGAAAAGAATGAAAAATTGAGCGGTACTTAATTATTTGACTGCCATCTAGCAGTGGCGCGATGGAACTAATTGCATGTTGAAGTTGTACTTGTTACAAGTGTAGTTTGATATCATGCTGAAACCAAATTTCTTAAATTTTGGCTACAAATAACACACTAACAACCTAGAGATACTACGTATTGTTTCTTTGGATAAATGACTGTTTATGATTTTTATGATTACAAGCATAAGTATAAGTAATCGTTACCGCGTGTGCCTTTGGCGACATGTCACGACAACATTGACTATGAAAACATGAAAACGCAACGAAATGTTGCTTTAAAAATATACTCTAGAATTTAGAATATTAATCTGAATAGCAAACTATTTATTTTTATGTTTAAGAATATATTTTCTTATTATACACCCAAGAAATTTTGAATTCATTTAAGATTATTTAAATTTGATGTAAAAATTTCTTGATTTAAGTAATGTCCAATTAATTGATTAGAAATGAAATAAAATCTTGAAGTGAAGGTATTTGTCTAAAAGTTAGAATAAAGTTAAGAGTAAAATTGTATTAGAAAAAGATAAGCAGTATTTTTGTAATGACAATATTTTATTACTTTTAATAAATATTTTTTCAGAATTAGCAAATATTTTGAGAAATTGCTCTTTCTTATTAGTAGAATTCCTTTTTTTCTGTGTACAAACAGACTACTGTATACCTATCTCTATCTGTCTTTGTAATAAGAGTTGGTATCTAGGTGTATTACTGTACACATAATGGGAAGTAGGTAAGTGTGGGGGGAATCGCCGAGTGCAAACATCGTAATATTTCTTTATTTTCCCATCCAATGTAAAAAAACCGAAAATTCCTAATTGGTAAAGAATAAAATTAGGAATCTTAATACATAAATTAACGAATGTACCTAAGTATATACTTAGCCACAGATTAAGCTGTACGTTGAAACTGTCTTGATCCACCCAGATGAACCAGACGGATGGATGATACACGGATCAATTTTCTATAAAAATTTTTGACACATTAACTTTTGCTATGGCCTACCTATCAAGATAATAGCAAAACATTTTTTTACCGTAGGTTCTTGAGACAATACGAATCACAGCAAATTATAATTGCTTTTAGTAACTGGCATCTATCGCATAATGATAATAAATTAACGAGTAAATTATCGATGTATGTAATAGATGTATTTGTGACCGAGTAAGTCTTAGAATTGGAGTAGTAATAGAAGCACCGAAAACAAAATTAATAATCTCAGTACAGAGAGTTAAAAAAACCGACCTCAAAAGTACGTGGAATTGCATCTATTTGCTAAGTTTTACTGAAATCGATTACCGGAAAGTGCGCCGGATTCATCCCCTAGTTCGTCACTATACGGAACTTGACACAGGAGATAATAAAGATCGGTTCTCACTGCTCAAAGTATATTGAGAGAGAAAAACGCCTTGAATTGGAGAATAGCAAAATCAACCATTAAAATAATTGCTCCTTATAATAAAATTTAGGCGCTATTTATAAAAATGAAACTTCATGCGTGAACAGCCACCCTTAGAGGTGGATGATTTTCTTCAAAATTAAATGGGACTACTATGGAGGTACCCTCTTTCCAACAAAAAAGAATCATCAAAATCGATTCACAAATGGCGGAGTTTTCGCGTAACATACATACCAAAAAAAACATACAGTCGAATTGAAAACCTCCTCCTTTTTTGAAGTCGGTTAAAAATGACCTTTTTTTAAAATATTAATATCACTATGTTATTTACTAAGCTACCAAAAACTTTTATGCAAATAAAATACGGAATCAACAGAATGAAATACTGAAAGTTCCGAAAAATCTTGCTGATATAACACTACTATACTACTACCAAATTAATTTATATTTTGCCGAAATTATTATAAGCCATTTTTATTGTAAATCATCTATTATTATAAACTTAAAGCTCTCTTATATATTTCATAAACTTTAGTACTTGTTAAACCATTCCATCGTACGAAAATACTATTAGGAATGACAATATCAACTCATACGAAATATAAAAATTTTTATATAATTTTTTTAAATTGCTTGTTATCAAATTTTGTAATTTTTTTTAATTTTATACATATATTTTTTTCTGCGCCTGGTGGTAAGCGACACGCCTATCCATATCAGTTGCAGTGTTACTTACAGCTTTAAATCGCAAAGATCTTAATGGCACTGCCTCTGCGCCCGTGTCACCCTGAGACATAAATTGATACGTACCATGTGCCTGTAATTTCACCAGCACCATTACCTTTCCAAACCGGAATACAGTAATGCTTAAATTATTGCTTAGCAGCAGAAATAGGCGAGGTGGCAGTACTTCCCTGGACGTACTTTTTCACAAGGAACTCTACTGCTACTGACTTTGGATTAAAGAAATATTCTTAAAAATATATAATTTGAAAGTGGAAGGAGGCGGTTAAAAATGGGTTGTTGTAAGGGAAATTAATTTCAGTCCTAAACGACTTCCTCGTTTATATAAAACAGTAACTACGAAAATTTAATGTGGTGGCGACTTCTAACCTATATCGATCATATTCGTTTCTGCCCAGAAAGACTACCACGTTTATAAAAAAAATTTGAAACTGATAGCATTGTAGTGTAACTCGATAAAAAAAAATGTCAAGATGGCGTCGCATTTGAACCTCGCATTGACGGCCGAACGGTATTAATTGTTTTCATTAAAATTGAGAGTTAAAAAAGTAAATCTATAACGAGTAACATAAATTAAGTTGGTTGTTAGTGTGGTAAAAACGTTTTTACAGAATATGTATTTTCGGTAGTTAGTATTTCTTTCAGAAGATTAAAATCATTAAGCTTCATAGAATTGTAATTTGAACAAGCTCTTGATTTTTTGCTAAATATGATTAGGTAATTTATATTAATAGTAACTCATTTTAAGGCAACTTCATTACTATGATAACCTCATTTCGCTGTTTTCAATATCAGTGTAATTTGTTTTTCGGAACCTTTAGATAATTTCCCTTAAAATTGTATTACTGGTTTGCCCATTTTTCCCAAGTTAATTTTGTTGTTTGTGTTTTATTGTTCACCTAAATTAACCATCATATCAAAGCGTTTTCACTTAACTGCTCTTCATAAACTACTAATTTTATAATACGTCTCATAGCTGTTATCATTGTTGTTGCCTGTTTCTTGTAGGTAATTGTTTTAAAATGTTCTCTACGTAGAAGGAAGAACAATCTAACTACATTTGATACGTACTAACGTACATTGTTGGCGTAGGTATTTCGTTTACGTAAGCCTTTCTTAGGCAGGTATAATACGTATATAGGTATACGTATTATACCTGCTTAAGAATTATTCAGTAGGTACTAAATAATAGTCAGCACCTACTAATGGTACCAATATAAATACAATGTATACGTAATCCCTAGTGCCATCATATCATATACATTACCTGTATTTAGTATGGTATGTCAATTACATAAATACAAATTTTCTATTTGCTGTAAGTAGAAGTATACTATACGGGCATAGACCCTAAATTTATGTATTTAGTAGAAATGATTCATGGAAATGTAGATATCTGAGGTGTTTCGCAAAGGAAGTCGTATTTTGGCCATTTCCTATCAATGTAAATATTATGGTTTTCTCTTTACCTACTTGTCTACACTTTGTCTATTTTTTCAGTCCCTACGTAGTTCATGTATTTGTACAAAACAAATTTCGTACGTAAGTAGGTACATGTATAACATACACTCTTATGTATTCAAATTACTTTTATGTTTTTTTTACTATAAGGTATCTAATTGATACAACGTACGTAGTTACCTACTACAGTAACAGCAATCGTGTTACAATAATGCATCGGCATGTAGTTGTAATGCAAGGCGACTCGGTACCAATGCGAACTTGGTGAGCATGGCCGTGCTGGTGCTCTAGAGGAAGGACATGCGGGCGCAGGGTCAGCGGCCGCAGTGTGGTCGGCGCGGGCGCGCGGAATTCGAGCTATGCGTATGAAATGAAAGTGGCCGCATCGTGAAAGCGCGCGCATCCACAGTAGTCGTCCGAAGCGTCTTTGACGTCCACGACTCACTCACCATGAATAGACAAATCCAATGTTGCTAAACTCAGTAAACAATATTATACTCCGTCGTTAACCGCATCCATTAGCACTTCACTTCACTTCGGTCTGCGATCACGCGTATGGAGCGGCTAAGTGACGTGATCGACGCCGGGGCGCACAAACTTCGTGAGCGCAATGGAACGACTGAGGCGAAGCGGGCGCGTGGGTCGGTCGGCGAAGGCACGCGCGGGGCGCACCGCGACTTCGGCTCTGTGGAATGCGGCAAGATAGTGGCGCGCGAGCGAGTACCAGTCGAGGCCCGCTGTAGGCTGGAGCCTCCGTAGGTACGCGACTCGACGGCGTCGCGCGGACGGAATGCGCGCGGTCAACCTCTGCCCATTAAAATAAATACAATTTCCAAACGCTCCGAGGCCCTGATGACCCGGCTATGAGCACCTCTAATCTTTTGTTTGGCTTACAGTTAAGTTGATATCTAGTTCAACATCAACATTCTATAGATATAGCTACCCTTGTTAATGACGTCAAATATTATTTTACAGCAGCAGAATCAAAAAGATTTAATTAATTGAAGGTTCACCTGTGTAACTGTTCTTAAACAGGGTGGCCCATTTACAGTGGTCGATAAATTGTTTTTTAGATAGAGGACATTGGAATGAATGACCCACTTAAAATAAACATTAGTTCCGCGGAAAACAATAGTTTAGAATGTTGGTAGGTCAATGGTTTAGAAGTTATGTTTTTAAATGTTATTTTTGAAAATTTTCTATTCTAGTCACTAAAACCACTGTAGTTTGAAAATTATTCCACAAAATTAATTGAAATTTGGTATGGACGTAGTGTGACCATGTAACTAGCATGCAATGAGCCATTTTTGTATTTGTTCTTTGCGCCATTATTTTAGATATTTAGGAGATTTTTTATTTGTTCATGAACAAAATGTTAATTTTCGAAAAATTTCTGACTGAAAAATGTACGATCATAATATGCTAATGGCCCTAAAAAGTACCTTAAGATGTAGGGATTGTTTACAAATACAATTGTATTATTGCAACTGTTGTAATAACATCTTCATAAATTGTACATACTTATGCAAACTAGAACCAACCCACAAAATGTCTATTTCGAGATAATTAAATTTTTGAGAAAACAGTGAGAAGAAATAAATAGGTAAGTTATTTGAGACAACGTGACTTATGTGTAGCATTGAGAATGATATGTGTATAAAGCTATAAGTTCTTTCTCACTGATAGAAATAGAACGCATATTTCTCGATATGGTGGTAAAAAGATAGTTATACAGTACGCGGATAGGTTCCAAAGCAAAGAATCAAATATGAGAAGACCTGAATGTGGAAAATATGAAGAGAGTGATCATCGGCCTGCAAAAACTATAATATATGGAGGGAATATTTGTGCATTTTTATGAGGTACACCCTGGTCAATTTCCGCCGAAAGTAAAAAGTGTTCGAATTCAAAATGGCGGTCAAAGAAAAATTTGCTTCGATCCGGCTGAAACTTGGCATGCGGGGGTGTTTCGGTGTTCTTAATCATAATTTGGGGTCAAAAGTTTATTTCCGCCATTTTTAAATATGGCTGCCATATAGGCGTTTTTTTTTTGTTAATAATAGCTGCCGAAACAGTTGCTCTGATTCGGCTGAAAATTGGCATGTGTGGAGGCCTCTATAAGATTATAATTTAAAAAACTTGTTGTTCGCTATTTTCAAATATGGCCGCCATAAAGCGTTCGTTGGCGGCAGAAAATAAATTGCTCTGATCTCTTTGAAAATTGGCATGTGGGTGTCTCTAGGAGTGCTTGATAATAATTTGTGGTCATAATTGGTTTTTCACCATTTTCAAACATGGCCGTCATACAAGCGTTTTTGGGCGGCAGAAAAAAGTTTGTTCTGATCTCTTTGAAAATTGGCATGTGGGGGGTCTCTATAGGTATTTGATAATAATTTACGCTCAAAATGTATTTTTTCGATATGGCTGCCATGCAAACTTTTTTAGCGGCAGATAAAAATTTGCTCTAATTCGACTGAAAATCGGCATTTCGGCGTCTCTACGAGTGTTTAATAGGAATTTGCGGTCAAAATTTCTTTTTCGTCATTTTTCAATATGGCTACCATACAAACTTTTTTGCCGGTAGATAAAAAATTTCTTCTAATTCGACTGACAATGGCATGACTTCAATCATAATTTGTCTTAAAAATTTTATTTCCGCCGGTTTTCGATATAGACACCATACACGCGTTCTTTTTTTTTATGTAAATGGCTGTTGAAAAAACTTGCTTTGCTTGGTCCGATAACAATTAGTGGTCAAAATATATTTTTGCAATTTTTTTAAATATGGCCGCCATTAAAGGACTATTTTTTTTTAAAAAAACAGAAGTGCCGAGGCCATAGGTCGAGGCCGGCGGAGGGCGAAGCCCGAAGCGTCCGCACGCCATCGTACGGAGGTAATATACGGAGGCGTAACAAATTACGAATACAAGATCTCTCAACTGTAAAAATGTAAGGCATGCTTCCCGATGTAGTGGAAATGAGATGAGATTCTTATAATAGCGTTGTTGTATCTCGACCGTCTCTCTGTTAGTTTCCTTTTTTTGGACGCTATGCCAAAGAGAAGTATTTAGGGGTGAAAAACATCCGAACAAACTTTTGCCGAATTTTCCAACTTAGAAATGTTCGTTTCTTATATTGGCCCAATCGAACCTCCTCATCATGCACCTATGGTACTAACCGCTATGCCATCGAAGAGCATGAGCATACTCCGTAATCTGAACCCGACCACGCGCCGCAGGCCGAGCCCGACCCCACCGTAGTGGGGTACAGGGCTCGTTATATTATATAGCAATCAATAGAAAACATTATGTATCTTTTTATTTAGTTAACGACAACCGAGTTCTAGTTTTTGTAATGAAAACGCTGGTAAAGAACACGTCTGGTGTTCTACCTAAATACATAACTCAATTTCACTCGAGGAGGGTTGGTTCTTGTTTGCATAACTATGTCCAATTGACGTGACGTGCACCGAGTCACTAAAAAAAATTGATAATTGTTCATAATGGTTATTCGAACAATTTCAACTAAATTTTTCAAAGGAATACATAAGCTCAACTCCGATTTACCTTAATTATTATCAAGCCAATATCTAATAGCCATAATGTACACGAAAAGAAAATGTTTAAAAACACCTACAATTTTAGCCCTTCTGACATAGAGAACTTTCATTGTTTTATCTACGTGTTATAAACAGAATGAAAATATGACATCGCACATTGAAACCAATACTGTCACTATGCACAAAATCAACTTTCGGGAAATGGCGATAGAAATTTCTGAAAATAAGTCAGGATAATATTTTTTTATTGAAAGAAGTTATACGTGACCTAATGTTTTTATATTATGTCTTGGAGTATGGCCTTTCTATTAATTAACTTTTGTCAAATTATATTGAGTTTCTATTAATATTTTGATAGTTTTAAAAAGAAATTCTGTTTAGTGTCACTATTCCATTTCAAATATTTCGTTAACTGTTTGCAGTAAATGAATGAACTGACACTATCTTAGTACATTTTTGGAAATTAAAATAATGAATTAATGAATTATTAAAGTAATTTACTGGTTTTTAAAGTAATGGTTTATTCTTATTAACTAGGTAAAAAAAATGGTACAAAAGTACAGAAACACAATTGTTTGAGACTAAACTAACAATCTAAACAAAAATCAATCTAAAATAACTAAACAAGAACGTACAATCACTGCAGCGTAGTGTATCGTATAAGTCTTGTATAAAAAAGCAATTTGAATTCTCCGAATTTTCTCACAATTTTGTATAACCTTTTATTAAAAACTTATCATGATGTATCACTTGAGATCAGTGTATTTACCAAAATCTTATATATTAAAAAAATCTTCAAAAATACAAAATCAACAATATTAGAAGTAATGTTTACGACTAATTTAAGCTAGCTAATAAAATAAACATAAAATAGCATTAACATAACTAAACAAAACTGCAAAAACTTTTATTCAACATCAAGTAAAAATCTTATATAAAAGTAAAAAACAGTAATTTTGATACGCATATGCATATTTCGATGGCCCCCCTTTGTCCTTCGACTTCGTTCCAAAAGTAACACTCTACATCTTTCGTACCAAGCTCAAACATTGTAAAATTATAGCAATTCAGTTTTGATTTATAATAGAACACCAATACATTGCCGTGAGGGACTGGCAAGACAGCTTGTTACTCATTGGTGGCAACTATATATTTTGGGCTACATAATTCTTAATCTGCAGATTTTTCTTTCCTGGCTTCTTCTTTTTCGATCAGATGTGTTAAGTATTTTTCTTGTACACATAGTTCGCACTGATCCTTTTTGAGAGTAAAGAAGCTGATTTTTAATTCATTTTTAAAAATTAGACGATAAGTGTGTATAATACAAACGGTAAATCTTCCTTTTCGCATTCTTCTACGTAATCATTATACAAATAGATTAAATTTTTTCCCCCATCTATGAATTCCCTAGACGTTTGGTTTCGCAAGTAGTGACTCTCAATTCTTGGTATTCTGTTAATATGATTCCATACTTCAGCTAGTAAACCTGCGGAAATTTGACCATGATTGCAAACGTTTAGCTTGCTTCGTTTTTCCGGCTCTAACATACCATTTCCTTGTTTCTTCTCTATTACTGTTCTTATTGGCCTGTCGTTGATACCAAGTGTACTTTTGAAAAACATCTTACGTACTCGAATTTTTTTGCAATCTATTTCTAAATAAAATGCATGTTTCGGTTTTCTTGTATTATCTTTTTCCTTGCACTGGTGTTTCGGTTGTATAGACGTCATATGACTGTTTATAAAATCTCTCTGACGTGATAATAATCCCATTGCCCAATAATCACCAAAGATCTTTTTACGCTGCACTTCGTTGATTTTTTCGCTATATTTCAAACGACAATGGTCACCGCAAGGTCTGCCCATTATTGTTGCTTCTACTAACTTTCCTTTTGTAGAAGTATATTTCAAACCGGAGTCGCTCAGAGTTTTAATAATTATTTTCTTATTTTGAGTCTCGGCGTCGTCGTCGTATTGGTTCTTGATACTGAGTTAAAATAGATGGAGAGTATGGAGACTCAAGTTTCAAGGGCTATCGCTGTTCATTATAGGAGTAGTGTTGGTGTCTTCATTTGTGGAACTTTCGCTAAGATATAGATCGGAATGTAAAAATGAAACAATGGTAGCAGAATCTTGG